ATTTTTGAAAAAATATTACACAAGCATTTCTAGGTCAAACTTAAAAAAACGGAAAATTAAAAATCTCACAAACCTAATATGCAACAGAGGGTGACTTGTATGCCAGCTAACTTCGATGCCAGTTAAAAACGTTAATTCCGCTTGACTTTCAACACTAAGCTGTGCGACGGCGACTCCAAATTGAGAAAAAGCTCAAGTTCCAGTCATAATGCAGTGACTGCGACGAGACGGCTGACACATTTTGACAACACTGTGTGGCACATTAACAAAAAACATCAGAGGATCATCACTTGGGACACAAATAGCTGCAGTCCGCCTGCAGCACACACACACACACACACACACGCACACACACGCACACACACGCACACACACGCACACACCATTTCTGCGATCACCACTCAACTCATGTGATGTGTTCATGCATTCTAAGAATTAGTAATACGGCTCCAAGGATATAAAAAGTCGAACCATCCCTGACTGAATGCCAGCTTTCTTGTGATGTAAAAAAAAATAAAATAAAAAAGAAACCGAGATAGACCCCTTTTATAACTTCTCTCACCAAAAATACAACCTATGAGCAGGACACCTCAATTGGGAAAAAATGTATATATTTTTGGAAAAATATATATTTTCAAGAGGGGAACTCTTTTGTGATTGCGTAAAACAGCGGCGGTGCCTGTATCACACATTGACAATGCCTGTGTACAGTGTTTTAGAGACCTTTTCACATTTTAATCTTCATCGTAGCATTAACGGCGGAAAATCTCACTAAGAAGCACACATATCCAGATTTGAAAGCAAGCATGGAAAAAATCCCTTCAATTACTAAGACCTCTACGCAAATGGCAAATATTCAGTTGGCTGATGTGATACTAGAGTGTATTAAAAAAATTAAATGAAATTTAAAAAAAGAGAGACGTCTAACACCCTGTTTCTGACTCTGCAAAATAGAGGGAAGCAAAGCTGTAGTAGATCGTTGGGGTCATACTTTATTTGTATGTCGCGTATGACAGTCTGGTAACCAGAAGCTGAGTTGTATTGTAGACGTTACACTTCCTGTCCCTAATATGTTCTGTGTGGGGATTCACGACGCCATTGTGCCCATAACAAAAATTATATCGTCAAAATGACTGTCTTATACGATTTTTTCCCATTATATCTGTGTTCGCTTTTTGTTTCTGTTATTTATTTTGTGATTAAACATCCAGTGGGTCACATTGACATCTTTTAAAAATCTACAAACAAACAAAAATATTAGCCATGAAACTGTAATAAAGACACCAATCTGTGTCTTCAGATTGACAAAGAGGAGAAATTGTAGAGACCAAACATAAGGAAGATGTAAACAAGGTCTTGAAAAAAACGTGCCCCGCTAATTCTAAACGCTGGGCCGCCTCGTGATCCCGAAAACACAAATGGTTGAACATTGGAACATTACCTCATTTAATGAGCCGCACCAAAACGGATCGGATGCTGTAAATTGTCATGACAGCGCACTGGACGATTACTAATAGATAAACCATCGTTAAGATCGTGATTGATTTCAATAATGCATGTTGTTAAATGGAGGGAAAAAGGCGAATATTCGCTTGAACTGCTCCCTTCATTGCCACGCTCAATATTTTACAACGAGCATGACTAAGGGTTAGTTCGGGATATATTTAGCTGCAGCAAAAGCAACCGTTTTGTTTGCCGAGACTTATTTCAGTTGTTGAAAAATCCAGAAATCTGGATGTTTAACGGTGTTGTAATAGTTTGGGGGTTAACCATTGTAGTCGTGTTTTATTACGATTTGAATTTAGTTTTTTTTTTGTAATAGTTTTAATTTGGTTTTTTTGCACAACTTTGGAAGGTTTTCATTTTAGTTTTTATTGTATCATTTTAGTATTGTGTAATACTGTACAGTTAACGACAATTCTCAAACAACTTTTTGACTGTACGTATGTACGGGAATAGCGAAATAAATACATTCAAAATGAACCCCGAAAGCTTATTTGTTCAACCCGCAGTTGAGTTGGGGGGTCAATGAAAGGCCAAAAGGATTATACAAAAGCCACTTTTCCATTTTTGTCACGTAAATGTGCCATGACATGATCCCCCGCCAGTCACGCTTGACCTTTTTATGGCCCCGCTGACGTCACGTACTGTAAAAAACGGTACGCTATCAGCCCCAACCCCCGGCTGTGCGGTCTTCCTCGACTCGGGTAGCACTTGTGTCCATTCGAGTGAGCTCTGGCAGCCAGTACGATACCTGACCTTCGGGGGTGGGCCCTGGAGATTCTATGGGGGGAGGGGAGGCGACGAAAAGGGGGCGTGGATCATACTCCGACAATGTGCTGATGTACAGTACTGTTTCTTTCGACCTACTTTAACATCGTCTTACTTCCGAAGGAGGCGGAAAAACCCTTCCTCACTGAAAAAAAAAAATCCACACGAGAACTCGGGCTGAACGATTTTGAAAAATAATCTCATTGCGATTTCATTGTTCCCTTGTGGCCATTCGGTGGGAGAGGTACCGATACGGGTTACGAGACACTATGTGGTGACCACTTTTTCCACTTGCGACATCGGTGTAATGGCCAAGAGCTTTTAGCCTCTTTTCGTCAATCGGAGTGAAATATTGTGTAATTATGTTAGCTGTTGGAAAGACTGAATGTCCCTACGTTGGAGTTTTTGTGGCAAAAAAAAAACGTGCTGTTGACCCCTTTCACACTACCTATCAAGAGTCATTTTTTTCCTGGATTTTTTTTTCCATGTAACTGCGCAGCGGGAAAGTTATCAATTCGGACCGTATCTTCGCCCTTTGCTCACCATGCATACCACCACTCGCACTCTCCAATCCAACAGACCTCTTGGTTCCCAAAGTGGACACACACACACACACACACACACACACACACACACACACACACACACACACACACACACACACACACACACACACACACACACACAAGCAACATTGAACCTTTAACCTGTTTTATGCCTTTTTTATAGCGGGCTGGACATAATACAGTGTTTTCCTGAGAGGAAAGTGCTCCTCCAGAAGTTCTCCTGAATTATTTGCATTTGAGATCATGAAATACTTAAAAGAGGAAGATCTGAAATGAAAAGCAGAAGTTATCCAGCCTGCTTACAGTGGACAATATTAAGAGTGACAAATATGGGTCAGGGATTACGGGGCTGGGCTTTACATTAGACATACTTGGTGGTTGTAATGCGTTCGGTAGCAGCTGTTGCTTGTGCCATTACAAGCAAATACTGTCTATTAGAGGCCAATTAATGGTGATTTTGTTGAGGGCGATGGCGATTCTGATATTTGGCAGAAAAAAAATTCAGACAACCTATTCATCGGACGATTATTGAAAAACAAATGAAGAAAATAACTTCCCTTTTGTCCCTTAGTGCTTATAAAAACAAAGATGTGAATTGTGCGATATAAATAACTGCTTTGCCTGACTGAACGGCATTTACTGTTCCATGAGAGAATATTATATTGTCGTTTAGTTGGCAAAACTCTGGCCGACTAATATAATCAGTTGTACCTTCATGTATATGAACCATTCAGAAATACTTTTATGATAATTTTTGTACCCGCATTTACATCACAATATGTATCATCCATTACCATGAAGTGAGTGAATTTTTTTTTTCCCATGATGTGAGGCCACGTCGTCCAGCCCTACTTGGGAACTGTTTTAAAGAGCAAAAATAATGCATGATAACCTTTAAGCACATTAACGAAGGACAGCATCAAAGCAATTGGTCCTCATTGTGATGCGGACGCAAAGGCTTTCTCTTCTTCAACTTCCTTTCCTCCCTGCTCAGCCTCATGAAAAGTGTGAGGGGGAAGAAAGGGAAAAAAAAAAACGTTGAGAATGTTCATCGTGTTGCAAAGGACGGCGGGACAAGCCCGAGCCAGCAGGGTTCCTCTCACAGCCAACCGGTTTCAATGGAACGCTGGCGAGAGGAAAGCCCTGCCAGGCAGCTGACAGCTGTCTCTGCTTTTGTCTGGTTTGTCCGAGTAGCGTTTCAACTCATCTCAATGGACGTGTTTTGCTCCAAAGCGGCCCCAGCATTGGGGACCGTTACGTCGTAGAAAGCGACATCAAATGAAGAAGAACTGGAGTGTTTGCAGATGCTTTTGTCCCCGCCTCCCTCCCCCACAAAAAATACAACTTAACGTAAGATTAAAAGTTTTTTAGAGAGGAAAAAAACAACAACCTTATTCTCGAATGAAAACAAGATAAAGAAATAATTATTGCCAGACACTATGTAAATTTGTATACAGTGGACCCCCATGATTTGCGGAAAATTGGGAATGGGCTAACCCGCATATTGTGAAAATGGATAATTGGATGGATGATGGATGGACAGATATAAATAGATAGATAGATGGGTGGATTGATTGATTGATTGACTGATTGATTTAAGGCGATGTGAAACAATTGCTGTTTTCGAACTGTCCCTGATGGCAACACTTCACATAGCTAGATAGCCAGACAGAAAGATACTTAATTCATAATTCTAAAGTAAAAGTACATTTACGTGCTAACCAACATATTATTGATAAAGCTGCCACAATGTAGCACCAACTAGTGCCAAGGGGAGGATTTATTCAATGCTGCCATTGAGTAAATCACTTTCTTTGCCTTAAGTATCGGTGGCCGGTATCGACAGCCTCCACAAGCACCCAATGCCTAAAAATAAGCCTGCTATCAGCCCAAGTCAGATACTCGCCCATCCCTAAAATAAACCTGACTATTCACAAAAAAAGTATCGTTTTAAGACTGTAACTTTTTTTTTTTGACTTTTTAGGTGGAGGGGAAACAACTATTGGTGCAACAATATGACCTGATTTTCAAAAAATATAATTTGATTCTTAAAAACTACAACTTGATTCTCGTTTTTCAAAAAAAAAAAAAAACAATCTCGAGAATTTGATTTTAATAATATCACATAAAAAAACTTCAACATTTTGACACAAGTGATCTTACCTTATGGCTGTACGGCGCTTCTCTGAGGTCGATCCCATCTTTGGCCAGTTTATCCCGTATGAGGACCTTGAGTTTGAGTTTGGGGTAGGTGACAAAGTCGTTACAATCCGTCAATCTCGGGTCGTGCTTTCCGGGACAGGACGGGCGGTGGGTCACTCCAACCCGGTTCTCTGTCCCGCCCGAGTTCTTGATCCTTTGCTGGTTCTGCATCTCCTGATGGGGCTCCAGGGTGAAGTAGTACCCCGGTGCTTTCCTGCCATCGGAGTCCCTCAGCTGCTGGACAGCAGCCAGGAGCCGGTGGCGGTGGTACTCCAAGCGGACCCCAATGGCATCAAGGTCCGGTCCGCCGATCTGCTTGCAGACCTCCAGGTCATCATAGCCATTATCGAGGAAGGCCTCCACATACTGGACCATGTGGAGCCGGGAGAGCCACTCCAGCACCAGGTTGGGGCCTTGGCTCATCCTAACTATGTGAGGTGCGCCTAGCCCACTACTTCACCTCCAACCTCATCACCAACAGAGATGGCGCAACACTAGGGTTAGGGGGGCGCTATCACCCCGTCAGAAATCGGCGCACCCCCCAGTTAAGCTCCTCCAGCATTTCCTTTGATAATTTAAATATATATTCATAAATTATTTTCTCAGTTCCAAGTCTTACTTTGCATAAAAAGGCATTACTCATGCAAGTGTGCAGAAGACCTTTCGGGCCAGTTAAAAGAATCCTGGAACAATGTCCATCTATCAGAGTGTAGTTGACGCCGATCTGTAAAGAACTGTCGTTTATCACCCACTTTGGACCTCTCAAGGGAGCAAAAGTAGCATCTGCTTCGAACCAGAGCCCGGCGTTCTCAAAATCAAGGCAGACTTCTCAACGTCGGTCACTTTTTGGGATAGGCGGCCACCTTCGTTCGGTCTGAGTCTCGTGAGGAACCGCGGAGATTTTTGAACAAACCTTGGCTCGGCAAGTTAACCGGCAGCTAAATTTAACACGGGACAGGGTGACAAGGTGTCTTTAGAAACGTCCTGACCATCGGCTTTAAGATTTTTCGCGGGCGTGGGACGGCGTCAAAATAATGCGGTCCATAATTTTTATCATCCTTTAAATATAGAAATATAGAGGCAGACACGACGCGCCGTTTGCGATAATGAATCAGGAGCGAGAACGAAACAAGACAAAACGACGGTTTTAAACTTAACTTCACCCCTCCAGGGGAACTCCTCGTGTCAACTTTGCTTGCTCCTCTCCCTCCGCCGCGGTCACCGTGAAGAGAATGACGACGACGATGATGGTGCAGCTGAGCTGGTTCATTTGCCGGTGTTTCATCCAGCCGGATGAACGATGAGGTGAGCTTGCTTTTGGCGCCACCTGCAGAGCATTCTGGGAACTGTAGGCCAATGGCGTTCAGTAGTTTGAAAACGTTAACTATTTAAACACGTAAAAAAAAATTGAACAAAGCAACGTGTGTTCTAAAAACACATTTTCTTCACAGATAGATATTTTTCTCATAAATTGGCTATTTGATTTTAAAAAAAGGCAAAAACTTTATTCACATAAAATTGCAACATGCCAAAATAGGACTTAATGGTATGCTCGTTTTTTCCTGAAATGAATACACCTGTATTCGATTCTAGCTCTTTTTTTTCCAAGAAAAAAATCTGTGACTTTATTCTTTCTCTCGAATAATAAACCAGACACACAAGCTAAAGTTGATTTTTTTAAACATTTATTTTACATTGCACAATTATATATATAATCTACAGTCTAATTATTTGTGGCAGCAGATTTGGGACATCCATGGGAAATTCATCTTTAATAAAACTGTACAAAAATGAGAAAATACTGCAGCTCCACATATATTCATCCCAGAAGACATACAGAGACGGACAATCGGATGTATGATGGATGTATGGATGGATAGACGAGTGGGGGCTCAGACTCGGCCCCCCACCCCCTTTGCACAGTGCTGTAAAGCCAAGCAAAAGCCTTTATGCAGCAGTGCGTACGCAAAAGCCAGGAAACCTCGCACACGCACGTACACACCATCAAATGTAAACGTCTCATTGATGTCTTTCTTGTGGGTAAATACAAATGTCAAGATAATACGCGTTTGTAAACACTTAACGTCATGCATCCGTCAATGGAGGACGAGATTATGAGATTACTTTTGTTTCTGGCCCACGGGTTGCCCATCCCTGCTTTGAGGAACCGCGACGCACTTGAAAAGGAGAGGCCACAAAAGGTGGGGGGGAAGTGACCCACGTGTGTGTGACAAGTGGGTGTCCCCCCACCCCAAAAAAAAACGCTCAAAGTTGAGCCATTCCATCCCAAACAGTGAAATTTAAAGGTAGTCCTCAGGAACATGAACAAACCTGATCATTACAATAAGCAAATGACATCGACAGAGATGAGCACAGATAGGTTCTGACGTATTTTGGTCCTCTCACAAAAACAAGGTAGAAAAAAATAGTGCAAAACGCACATTGCATGTGTGCTGCTTGGCATGTGTTTGTCACTACTCAGTGGCTTTAAAAATGCGCTTTCTGTTTTGGGTGTGAATGATTTGGCGGTGGCGGGGCTGGTCGAGGAGAAAATTCAAACAGTGCTGTATTCATAAGTTTTTACATACAAAAATCAGACCAAAAAAAAATCTAAACGGCATTTTGTTGTTGCCGAGAAATTTCCATAACTTCTTCCACCTCTGCAAAAAAAAAAAAAAAAATCATACGGCAAATACGTGGACATTTTTTTTTACATGACTATTTTTACAGAAGAAACCTAAACAGTGTCGATGTATTTCCGAAATTTTTACCCAAGACCAATAATGACAGAAATTTGGCAAACAACCCAACAGCATCTTCATATTAGAGTATTTTCCCAAACTTCCTACACCCAGAAAGTCGGCTCCAGGGCGCTTTTTCCTGCTTATTAGGTGCGATTGATTTGGCGACGAAAAAAAAAAATTACAACAGCATTGTCGTGTTTCTGAGATTTTTCCACCAAGTGCTTACTATAGCCTGACCAATATGGATCTTTTGATTACAATATCAATCCTAATATTTAGCTGAATAAAATTCAGATAACCGATTAATCGGCTAACAACAACAAAAAACATGACTAACAGAAGAACTTTTTTTTTTTTTGGTCGCCTGAATGATTGGAACAAAAAAGATATGAATTACAGCCAGAACATTTGGCTTGTTTTACATTACTTTGTCCTTTAGGATTTGTTTTTTTTGAGATGAAGAGAAAACTTTTGGGGTTGGGGGTGTGCCGTTTGAATGTTGGTATTTTTTTCTGTGGAAAAAAAGGGGGAAGATGTGAGCAAATAGGTGAAAAAAAATCCAAACGGCATTGTCATGTTTTCCGCAAATTTCCCCCAACTTATTACACCGAAAATATGGACGAACAAATGAGGAGATAGATACTCACGATTATGCAATTAATCTCTTTGGTGTTACACAGAAGACGGCCGCAATATCTCATCAAATTTCAACTGTGTTATTTACAAATATTTTGCAGCGACAAGCACAAAAAAAATAAAATTAAAGAAAAAAAGATGTGCACAAACAGCAGCGTCAAGAAAAAGCAAATATAGAGTCCATACATACACATATCCCTGAATATATGTATGCTCGCAAACACGCGGCTAACCGGCTAGCTTAGCATAGACGCGTTAGCAAAGGCAGAAATGAGAACAAACGACGCCAACTGAGAATGACCGAAAGTGGAGCAATCGGTCGAAAAAAAAATCATAATAATAAACAAGACAGACACGCACACACACGCACACGAAAAGAAAAACTCGCCAATAGTCATCACGGGAGAGTGAGAATGGTAGCTAAAATATAAATTCTCTCATTCTCCTCACATAATAGCCCAGTGAATACAGTGAATACCGTTGTTTCCAGTGTACTTCATAGCCTCTTTTCATAAAGCACACATCATTTTTTTAGATAGACTGCAGCAGAATACCATCCAATCGAAGCCTCTTTCACACAGAGGGGCCCGAAAAAAAAGTGGGGCATTAAAGATGTGCAAGGAGATCCAGTCATTTATCTGCCTGTGCTTGTCACACAGAGCACCAAATCTCCTAAAATGGCATAGCATTGCTGAGAATCTTCCCCAATTTCCAACACCAAACATGTGACTAAAATTTTCCCAGCTTCGGACACTAAATACAGGATGTGGTCGACACGATTTATTTTCAGCATGACTGATTATGGCGGTAAGAAATGAATAATAATAATTTCATTTTATTGTAATACTAATAAATTTCTCTTTTTTTTGGCATGAATTATAAGGCGTAAAAAATGGAAAAGAGGATCATGTGTCAGAGAACCCCCCCCCCCCCCCAACAACATAATAGGTGGGGGTGGGAAGAAAAGCCTGAAAAACATGAAAAAGTGTCCATCTCCAATGCGGTCACTTTGCAGAATCTCCAGGTGAAAAAGGCTTCAATGTAAACTCATCAGCAGGAGCGTAAACATCTTCCAAAATGCTCTCTTTCTTCAAAGTGTGCACTTCTTTCAAAATTCATACAAAGTAATGCCCAGCGAACAAAATTCTTCCTAAATTACCTAATAAACTTTGTGTGTGTGTCCTGATAAATAACACAATTTCCATGTGTCATGATAAACAATCGAGCAAACTTCCCGTGAGCCCTGATCATCAAATATGTGTCTCCTGATAAATAAGTTAACTTCTCCAGTGGCCTGATAAATTACTTCAGAAACTTCTTGTGTGTACTGATAAATAATCTAAGAACCATCATATGTGAGTGTGTTCTGATAAATAATCAAATAAATGCGTCAAGAATAGTCAAAGAAATTTCTCCCGTGTCTGGATGAATGCTGTAACAGAACTTCTTGTGTGTCCTGATAAATAATCAAAATGCTCATCAAAGGAAAGTGACGTTTTGTTTTTTTCTAAAAGATGATAAACTAGTCTACTACCAGCCCTTATTTGGTAGGAGATTCAACAGCTCCTGCTTCATATTCCTAAGTGCTTCAAAATGGCCTTTTCCTCACACAAAAAGACAAAAGACTGAATCCTTCCACAAGACACCAACAAACTTCGATGATTGCACTTAAAAGGATGGGCGGGGGGAGGTCACGGAGCGAGATCGTCAGACTTCTACTCCCTATTTAGGTCTGCAGCCGCGGTTCTTCGGCCAGTGAGGCAATGCACAGCAAAGTGACCCTGACACCCCCCCCGCCAAAAGAAAATGTGTGTGTGTGTGTGTGTGTGTGTGTGTGTGTGTGTGTGTGTGATTCCAGAGTCCCCAGTCCATATCATGGTGTTGCCTGCCATCATCAGAGCTGGTACCACTTCTTATCTTTGTACTTTAGCATCATCTGAGGGTTAAAAAAAAACCCAACAAAAAACAAAGTGGAAGTTAGGAGGCACAGCGGAAAGAAAAAAAATTAAAGCAAGTCAATCAGTAGTACATGTGACTAAAAAAATCTTTTTTATCTGAAAGGAAAAAAAACTGAAGTGGAGAGCATACGTCATGAGCGTGCTTGGAGAAGGACTCCGCGCTGGCCATCATGGCAGCTGTTCTCTCCTCCAGCTCACCCAGCTTCTGCCCTCGCTCATCGAGAGCTACCCGTGCGCGGGCCAGGTCGCCCACCACGCCCGACGCCGCACCCTTCATGCCCTCCATGTTGCCCGGGCCGGGGATGTGCTGGGCCAGGCTACGGGAAGCCTTCCCTGACGCGGTTTCGCCGACTGAGAGAGAAGAAAAAATATGTAGCACAAATGCATAAAGAAGGGTACAGATATTGATTTTTTTGATGAACAGGGTCATTTGAAGCACTCACAAAGATCTTCCCGATCCAGAGATTGAGCTCCTCCACCAAAGAGGCCTTTGAAGAAACCTTTGTTGGGAGCCTCCGGGGTCTCCACTGGTGTGAACAACTCACTCAGCATCTCCTACAAGGAAACGCAACATGCTCGTTTCACTCTTTACATCTCCAGGGTTCGTAAGGTTGAAGGAAAGTTCAATTCAAGACTTTTAAAGGGTTTTTCGCCCCATTTGACGTGATGTGAATTTATCACAACTACATCGTCTTCACAAGTTTGATGCTAACATACAACAGTCAACACCATTGGCAAAAAGGGGAACGAGTACGGTTCTGTCCCGACATGGGCTGAAAAGCCACTCTGCGAGGAAGAAGCCATTACTCCTAAACAGTTTGAATTGCACACAGAATCACAGACCTTCATTTTTGAAAATATGCCCCGCGGTCTGCTGAAACTAACTTCAGGTTCCAACTGTACATAGAATGCAACAATTGTCTGTAAACGTGCAATGTACCAGTATGTGCCCCTCTCAGGCCCTTGCAGACTCGACGCCATTTTAAAGACCGCAATGGTCAATACCTGCAGGTTGTCACAGGTTTCCTGGCTGTAGGTGATCCTCTGCACCTCGGTGGGGGAAGTGAGGTACAAAGCCTGGCCCAGATTGGAGAAGCAGAATGTCCGCGCTATCCGCATGTCCGTAAGCGGCAGGTAGTTGACGTCCAGGAGGGGGCGCAGACTCGGCAAGCTGCAAACGTCGCGGAAAATCGTGACGACACCACTGGAACAGCCGAGGGCCAACGTATTTTTGACAACGTCCCATTGCATTTAGACTACCTGAGCGTCATGATGTGTCCGTTGGCGCAGAAGCAGGCGATGCAATTGCCGCTGCCCATCTGCACAACGTCAGCCCTCAGCACGAAGGACGACTCGGTGATGTTGTGTTTGTGGACGCGCGTCTGGGACGGCATGGCCAACACCTTGGCCTGCTTCTCCGAGCACAGGACGGCGAACTGCGAGTCGTGGCCCTCCTGCGAAGAAGGCGGCGAGGCCGGCCGGCGCCACCGGCTCTTCTCCTTCTCCTTCTCCTCGTCGGAAGCGTTGGGATCATACCATGGCTCGTAGGAGGCTGGCAGCACAGCTCCGGCGGCGTCCAGCAGGGCCATTGTCAAGATCCCTCCTTTGAGTCTGGCCACTGTGCCTTCAAATGCCAATGTAGGATATTTATAACATTGAAAATAGAAACAACTTTACATGTACCATGTTTAGATATTTAATGTCTTCCACGAGATCTGAATGATTTTGCTCCCTTTTCCTCAACATTGTGATTTGAGAGCAAGAAAGCAAGCTATAAAAATGTCAATTAATGTTGCTTTGTGTCAGAGAGCAAGTCATTATCAACACTTGGTCAATCATTTGTAAAAATCACACACGAGGACTGACCAAGAGTATAAGTCACGGGTGTCAAAGTCAAGGCCTGGGGGCCATATCTGGCCCGCCACATCATTTTATGTGGCCCGCGAAAGCAAATCAATGCTGTCAAGTTCCATGATGCTTGCCAATGTCTGAACCAAAATTTCAAATTGTCATATGTCATCCACAATAATCGTCATTATTCATTACTTCTGCTTTGAAAACTAGTTATCCATCAATTTTTGTGCGCTGTGTATGTAATATGTGGAGAGGATTAAACATTTATAAGGTTCCCAAAATTCATAACGACCCTCCAAGTCAAACCGTAACTACAATGTCGCCCGCGACAAAAATGAGATTGACACCCCTGGTAAAAGTGATAAATTGAAAGGCTGCCAATTATGTAGTGCACCTTATGCACCACTAATGTAGTGTAGGTTATTTTTATACTCCCTTAAAGTTATATTTCTACCATATTTTCACCCTGTACCTCTTAAGTACCATATTTAATGTCTATAGACTTTTACTGCACTAAATTTGTCTGATATTCAACGCATGTACAACCACCTTTAACGTATTACGCTCGCATGCCTATAATGTAGCGTGTTTCGATATGATCTTGAATTTACGCATCTCTGATGCACTATATTTGCATCATATGTCTACAAACCTTTAATGTACCACATTTAATCTTGCCATAACGCCATATTTGCATCGTATTTAAAATCCCATTAGATTTCCATCATAATTACCACAGGAGGAGATCCCGACCGGCTGCATGAGCCTGTGGTCATCGCCGGGAGGAAGGCTGAGGGCCACCAACATGACGGAGCCCTGGGTGGTGCCCACCAGTACGCAGGGGCTGGGCGCGCCATCCGACGACTTCTTGGGGAAGGTCTCGCAAAAGCATAAGGCGCAGACGGCCTCGCGGGACTCCCGGTCGACGCTGGTCATGCTGGAACTGCGCGAGCGGATGAACGAGACGTCCTTAGAATCTGGATTAAAAGGGGAGGGAGAAAGACAAGGCGTCTTTTAGAGTCAGGCCAGCTATTTCAGGATGTTAAGTCACTTTTTTGGTATGAGAACTGAGTTAGGCAGATTTTCAACGCTTGTTTTTACCGTGCAGTTTTTTTTTGGGGGGGGGGGTTCTGTTCAATGTGGACAAAGGACGGCACAGAAAATCCTTAAGGCTTCAAGATTGAACCAAAGTGACCCGAGAGAGGACAAAACAACCGCTTTTTTCATTTTACCAGCGTATTGAGTTGGCACCAAAAAGAGAAAAAAAATGCATTAAAAACAAAAAAAAAAGTATATTTTTTAAAGCCCAATTTTCGAGATGCAAAGGTCTGAAGAATTTTTTTGGGGGGGTAGGAAAAAGACAATTTTTTTTTCCTATGAAAATTCTTATTCGTAAGAGAATAAATCACTTAAAAACTATTGAGAAGAAACATTCCAAAATTAAGAGACCGTTGTATACTACACTAGACTTGTGTTTTTCACGATAAAAGTAAAAAAAAAAAAAAAATTGTATTTTGAGAAAAAATGAAATCGTATGATAGTCATTTTTACATTTACACTTTTCTTTTTTTTTAAATCGGAATAATGCGAGTTCTACGTTTGAGACAGCTGTAATATAACAAGAATAACTGCTTTAAAAAAATCTACCGTATCTTTTTCAACAAAGTTTTTTTTTTAGTCTTAATCTTACAACAATAAAATAAGCATTTTTTAAGATAGTTTGGCATAACACTTTAAAAATCCTCTTGTTCTAATATCACACATCATCATTTAATCTCATCATATGTACAACTGAACAAAAACCACAAAAACTCAGTTCTCATCGTATTTTTCCCCTTTTCAGTGTCGTCCCAATTCTCAGGCCAGCGCACAGCACATTTTGAGCTTTTACATTGGCCATCCAACTTGATTGGCTTCCTTTGTTGCAATCCCACATGGCAACAATAAACAATACAAGAAACCTGCAGGACCGGTCATAGAAGAGCACCAGCAAGCCAATTGGGGGAGAAAAAAAAAAAACAAAAAAAACCCGACAACAACAGCAGCAGCAGCAGCAGCATCACTCAGGCGCAGTTGAACGTCCTTCAAACCCAAGTGCTTTAGCGCCACCGTGTGCAAATGGAAGCCGGCCAAACCGCCCCCAGCCGGCCAGCCAGAGCTCGGCCGCTGGTGCACTCACTCATGTTGTGGTCTGAGTTTGCTGTGGGGAAGACCAGCTTCACGCTCTTGCGGGTTGACGTGGGCGCGCCGCTGTGGGTGTGGTAAAAGCGTTTCCTGGACGACATGGAACGCCACGCTGCCCGCCGCGCACACACACAACACTTTAAATTGCTTTAATGATTGAATTTCAAACCAAACCTTTGTAAAGAGGGGGTCGGGGGGGAATCTAAAAAAAGACTGTTAGCAGCTCAGGCTTACCCGGGTTTGGTTTTTGGTCATTAGACGAGCTAATTTTCCGCGACATCCTAGCTGAAACACAAACACAAGACACCTCCTTTTGAGAGGTAACACTGGGGGTGCGGTAAATAAATACAATGTGTTTGAAGGAAAGAAGATTTTAGTTGTATAGTTAAATAAAAATAAAAAAAATGGATTCAGGGCAAAGTCTTTTTTTAAAAGGTGGTGATATGACATACGACAACTGTCATGACTATTTCTATGGAATCAGTTTGTTTACTGCCACTGAAAAAATTATTATTTTTGTTTTATTTTTTTACTCGAACTCATGAAGGAAGTTACTTTATTAAAAAGGAAGCTGATTGTGGAAAAAAAAACAAAAAAAAAAACCCATCTTCTGATATAGTTGCGCGATTGAGTATGCATATAGTGGAAGCTTTTTGAAAACGTAATTTTAAAAATATTTGAAATACCATCATAGGTATGAGACACCAGCATCGGTTTTAACCTGGATTTAAAAGCATTTACGCCTTATTGGTATAATTTGAATCTTTATTGATTCCTATTATTCACTTTGATAATAGAGGATACAATAATCGTATTATACACAAGCACGGAGGAAAAACATCTTTTTAAGGGTGATTTGGGGGTCGAATTATACACTGGTGCGTGTTATTCAGGGGAGTTTAACTGGATTTGATTTTTATGATGGTGACAGTTTGGTCCTGGAATAGATGACTTCAATGTGGACTACATTATTTCCAATGCGGGAAATGGTCCTAAAATACGAACCGACCGAGAGGTTGGCCAGCAACGTGTTTGTCTTGGATGTTCGAGGTTCTGCGGTATTTACAGTAGTTTTTGGTTACATTGTGAACATGTCAAATCACAAAACAGCTGCCAGTTTCAGTCTTATCACCACCCTTTTCACAATCAATCAAAGGCCATGAAAAACAGCCAGAAAACACGCTGATTTCGCTTCAAAGAATATAGTGAAGAGGAAGAAGGATCAGGAGGAAGCCAAACAGTTAGTGTGTCGGCACTACGGCAGCCCCGGAATCACTAACTACTGCTCAGTCAAATTTTGAACATACATTCTGAGGCTTTAAGCACATTTTTCATGTTTTAATACTTTAAAAAAAAAGACAACACTATTTCACTTTTTTTTAATGGTAAATTGGGCTAAACTGCACAGAAAGTCTGAAGCCTTTAAGAGAAAAAGTTCATGCAATTAGGAGTCATTGTGTTCACAAAGCAAACGCCCCAAAAGCACAATTAGTACTGAAAACAACACCTTTTGATTCCACACCTTTGCACTCATTGTCAGAGCGGCACAGTGCCTGTTAGCAGCCCGCCAATCAAGGGAGAGAGAGAGAGAGACACAGGCAAAACACACTCGCGCATTAGCACACATGTGTGACTGATACAGTACCAAAGTCATTGGCAACCGTCTTGGAAAAGCGTCTGCTTTTGTACTTCACTGGAAACAGTTCACAGGGAGAGACATGTCACATGGCGGCGCACCACGCAAATGGATATTCGCGGAAATACACAAAACACGCATGCAAAGACACACAGACATGGACACACACGTACGCATAACGCACACACAGCACCGTATAGTACCCTTCTTTATGAACTTGGCCTTGCACTCATCATCGGAATTGAAGGGCGAGTTGGATCCTATGCGACGAACAGCAGTTAAAAACACGCACACAAGCACGCAGAGGAGCACGCACGCACACACTTGGCGCACAAGCACACGCTCCGCGCCCATCTCCAGAAGTCACCGGCTCACCTGAGTTAGGAGACTTGCAGCGCTCCTCTGCGGCGTTAGGCCCATCATTGGAATCGCACAGCGCTGTGGAGGAGGAAGAGAGAAAAAAAAAAAAAGTTAGCAAAAAAAGGACCCATGTTCCCTCCGACAACCTCCATCGTTTTGTACTTCACTTCACTGTTGAGCTATGCTGGCTTGCTAGTTATTGAGCACGCAGGTTCCAGTGTGGCAGTAGGATGTCAAACGTAACCAACATTTGAACCCTCATCGTATGTGACTTGAGCAAACCTGATGTGACGACTTGGAGAGCAGGAAGTGCAACTGACTTTCACGAAGGAAAGTGTCTTGCTACAGAGTACGGTATAATCAATGCAGCATGTTACACATCATGCTTTTTCTTTGGCTTATATATCCATCTGTATCTATACATGAGTTAAATATATATATATATATATATATATATATATAGATATACAGTATATATATATATATCACTACACATACATATAAAATATATCTCCACCCCACCAGCAGAGAAGGGCAGCAGCGATGGCAAATAGAGAACATGTGATGACAACCATAGAGGGAATCCTTCTGGCTGCTCTGTATATACTGTATGCATTGAGCTCCCGCATTTTCATGGGATAGGGAGAGAGCCCTGCCATGAATAGCAAAAATCCTAGATTCGGCGACAGGTTTTTAAGTACCTTACAACTGTAGCAAAGCACCTTTTTTTTTGTCTAAATGAAACTCAACTCATTTCTACATCGTGCCTTGGCACCAAGATGCCACCAGTTGACATCAAAAGGGACACTGTTATCGCCTTGGCCTGACCACAATAACACCAGAGAGCTCAATTTTTGAGTGAATAACTGAGGATAGGTTCCAAAAAAAATAAAAGAAGAGGCAAAACGGTAAATGAGCAGGCCTTCACTGGAACAGAGCTTTGTTGAAAATAAATAAAATCACGTCGTAGAGTCCAGCGTTCGGCTCGGCGGAAGTTCTATTCAAAGTTATGCTATTTGATACAAGGCAATTATGAACAATGCAAAAATCTATTCATCCGTACTCTTCCTCATGACTTTGACCAACTACAGAGTGACTAGAGTTGCGCTACAAGAGGGCATCGGGGTGCTACATCTAATGTATAGCTACATAAACGGGAGCAGGAATCCCCGACTGATGTCTGGACTTACTGAAGTGAGATGAGCGCAGCTTTTTCACAGATTCACAATACATGAGAGAAACTCTGGACATGAAAGACATCGCTGCCGTGGGGACGTCTTAACCAAATCATATAGAAAGAGACCACACAAAGACACAGGTGAAGATAGGCGTGCTGCGACAAACCACACAACAACAGAGACGCACAGCGCCAATGGGGATAGTGTAACCCTGCTAAAATCGCGCTTCACTAACCGTGGCTTTGCTATATTGTGGCTGTATCTAGTTGCTTATCAACATCGCAGAAAACTGTGGTGCATAATGATTACTGTTTTAAGGAGGTCCGTATGGCTTTTTAACAGTAATTGAAGTTGCGACTGAGTGACAAGATTTCTGACCTCCAGAGGGCTGGCGGGCTTTGCGCGGGGAGCAAGGCTGCCTCTGGTTGGGTTCCGACGGGCTGTACAGCTCCGATGTGCCCAAGTTGAGCAGCAGCGTTTTTTGGAGGTAGTCCACCACCGCCAGGCCATTGCTGTTACCAAACACCACCCTAAAAAGACAGTAGTGGATGTAATTTTGAAAATCAAAAGCCATGCGGTGGATACTTGATGGATACTCACAGTCCGTATGAGGAGTTTATGGCCAAACTAGTGATCTGCTGAGGTGGTTCCCCGCTCACCCACACCAGCTGCACCACCAGCTCCACCTGGTAGCCCGGAGACTGCTTCAGAGGGGAGCTGCGCACCCTGAATGCAAAACAACACAACAGGCCATTTAACATTCCAAGTTTAAAGTCGGCATTTAAGTGGCGGGCAGCTTTTAGTGAACAAAAGACTTCATGATTTTGATCTGTGGATGGTGCCGTGCATTTGAGTACAGCTGTTTGACAAAATGCAAACTGCTACATTAGCAATAGCTGATAGTCAGCGAGGTGTGATCATGATGTGTATATTGTAAACTGTTAGACAAAGAGCGGCACTGAAAATCGGCATTTATGATACCAATCAATATATTCTCCCTACTGCAGGCAGGGTATGTTGTCTCGTGGTCCGTCTGCCGACGAATTGCTGCCGTTTCCGCCGGCAGAGGGTTGAGTGGAGTCAGTGGCGGGGGGCTCGCCGTCCTGGGGGCTGGAGGGCACCGAGGACGCCTGCGTGGGGGTCTGCTCTCCGGTAGCGTCGGGCGAGTCCACGTCGCTCAGTTCGCACTGCATGCGCACTTCCAAAAGCTGTAAGGTAAGAAGAAAATATAAAGCAGAGATGTGACTCTGTTAAAGGTGCTCATTTGTGGAATGACTGTGAAAAGGTTTTGAAAGTGTGCTGTCTATTCAAGTCCGAAAAAAATATATAAATCATGTATTTATGAAAATGTTGGAACTTTTGGGTGGGCTAACTTTGATTTGATTTTCGTGTGTCCTATCATGTATTATTGCTTCGGGAGGATGAATAAAATTTTGAAGGTTGCCTTGCTCGGTTTCAAAAAAAAAAATTTCCTGAATAAGTGAAATCCACAAGATAAAAATGCCCTATTTAAATACACCCTGGGCATGTTTTTTGTCATTTACATTTCTTATAGCACTCAAAATGAAATGTTAAAGATTTTAAAACATACTGAAGAAAATATCAACACATTTAAACAATACAATAAGAGCAACGAATACTCAAAAATATTGTAGGGGTATAAAATAATAGATTAACAACTCTAATAACTCCCCCCAGCCCCCCCCCCAAAAAAAAATTATATAGCAGGACTGCCTAACATGAACACTGACACTTCACAATTATCCCCCGCTAGATTTCCCAAATTTTTAAATTCCCAAGGAATTACCGTATACCAGAAATTTTCCACACTTTTTGCAACTGCTAAAAAGACAATGCGACGGAAACTATTTTTCCCATGACATGATACGCAAATGCTAACCTGCACATTGGCAGTGGCGACTTCCTGCTTGCTGAAGCGGTAGACGATGACGTGCGCCGACACGCCGGCCACACACAGCATCCTGCTCTCGGGGCACCAGCACAGCGTCTGGATGGCGAAGGGGTCCTCGTCCACGATGTCCGCGTTCGCCTTCTCTTCCTTGCCGCGGGCCCTCTCGAACACCTTGGCTGTCTTCAGCTTATACAGCACTTGGAGCATCACTGTGGTGGGAAGAGGTTGCCATGGTAACAATCACAAAATACAACGGGCGTATGCACTCGAGGGAGGCGTTTTATTTGTCATAAATGAATGGCCGCTGTAGGGAGACTTTCATTCGTTTTAAGTTCACGGTTGTTAATTTTAACGATTGCTTGATGTAAGACTTCCGGAATGACTGAGCGAGGTGCTTATTCGTCTTAAGTTGATGATTGCTTGAGGGAGGCGTTCAAAGGTGCCTAATGAAGGCAGACGCCTTAACCTGATGATTATTTGAGAGAGGCGTTTAAGTTGACGATTGCTTGAGGGAAGCATTTATTTGTCTGAAGTTGATGGTTGCTTAGGAGAGGTGTTTGTTGATTTGTGGATTGCTTGAGGGAGCTTCTTTTATTTTGCCTTATTTTGATATTTGGTTTGAAGGGGGCATTTAACTCATTCAGTACCAGCCAATTCTGGACCAAGTCTGAAAAGACGTTTAAAAACGTCTTTGGGAGTGAATGAGTTAATGATGTGTCCTCGAGCAAGGAATTTATGGTTGCTTGAGACCTGCATCTGGAAGTGATGGCTGCTTGAGGGAGGCGTTTGTCCACTTACGTGCGGAAGCGTCCCAAAATTTGATGGTGCCATCGGCATGTCTATTTTTGGAGGGAAAGCACAAACATTAATGAAGAACTTCATGTTTTTAAATCGACATTTTATCACGAATCACTCACCCAGTGATGATGATCTCGGGGTAACTTTCCGTGCCTTGGCCCCAGTTTCCCCCGCTGATGGGCCAATCCTAGACACAGGAAACAAATCATGAGTAAATGCACTATTATGGGGAGTATCGGTCCAGACTGAGGGCCCACCTTCTTGCTGTACCCTTGCCTCTTCTGCCTGCTGCCCACCGAGTAAAGTGCGGGAATGAGTTCGGCCGGGCAGTCGGCAAAGTACTCGCAGCAAGTCACTGGGGACTCATGGATGCTTAGGGGATAAGGGTTCTCGAATATCGGGTACCCAATCTGTCCGAGGTCGATGACGACTAAGTCCCGCTCCAAGAGGACTACCACGGCGTACGGCTCCTGAAAATCTAAAAGCCAAAAGCAAGGGTGAAATAAGCGGAAACGGAACTGACCGCGCTGGAGGCCATTGGAGTGATACAAATGCATGGTAAGCGACGAGAGGCTCACCGTTGGGATACGGCGTCTCGCACAGTGTGAGGAAATCCACGATAGGAAAGTCCATTTCCAGGACGGCGGTGCTCTTCCCGTGCATCACCGTCAGACAGGCTCTCCGACCCACCGTGTCGTAGGAGAGACCGCCGGACAGAACCATAAATGGGTCTCTAGGTGTTCGGAAGGAGATTAAAACCCCTTTTAGGTTGTCTTAAGTTGACGATTGCTTACGAGAGGCATTTATTTGTCTTGAGTTGATGATTTGTTTGAGGGAGGCGTTGATTGAATTGAGTTGCCTATAATTGAGCTCTTTTAAAGCAATTTATATACATTTCTTGCATTGTGTATTCTTTCAGCAATTTTAGTACGCAGTTTTATTGCTGTACTTAGTTTTAAAATGTACAGTAATCCCTCGTTTATCGCGGTTAATGGGGACCAAAACCACCCGCGATAAACGAAAATCCGCGAAGTAGCGTCCAATTAACATAAACAGGTAAAAAAAAAAAAAGTTTTTTTTTCAAAGTCCGCAAATGGTCCGCGAGAAGCTGCAAAACAACAGCGAGTCACACAGAGCAACATATACAGTACTGTACTCCATGTATATGGATTTAAACAATGAAAAATTGAAAAAAATAAAAATAAATGAAAAAACTAACTATAATGAAAACCTCAAAACTATTAGAACCTTGGTTGACACACACGAGCTGTTGTTACAGAATAACAGGAAAGGCTTCTTTCGAGACAGGATGTTGAAGTCTGCTTGTGGGTAAGACAGGATGGGCCTGTTAGTGGCACTTACCCAGCCCGCGTGGTTTTGTACTCCACCTTCAGTATTGGCTTGCATGGCTCTGGCTTCTTGCCATCCTTGGGCTGCTTTCCTGGTGTCAAACGGTGTGGGAATTAAGTCAGCGTTTGACATCAATGTGTATTTATGCAATACAATTGTGTGTGTGCGTTCCGACCATGCGGCGTTATGATCTGTGTCGGCTTGGCGGGAGTTCGTATGTTCCAAGTGGTCAGGGTGCCGTCCGAGTGGCTGCAGAGGAACTGTTTGCCCTCGTGGTGCCATGCAACCGAGTGGATGGCCTGGAAACCACCAAAGCGTAAATAGCACCCAGTGGGATCTTCTTCGATAAGACAAACTAAGTTGACAAACTCTTTTTGTTAATTTTTTTTTTTAAATAAAATAAAATCTTTCATTTGGATCTACTGTGGCCAGTATCACGCATTTGTGCTCTTTGACAAGGAACAAGGAGTGACGAGGTAGACCGCAACGTTAGTAGCTCGAAATTAAAAGCCACAGTGTGCTTTCTGTGACCTATGGGTCACGTGTGATCGACCTTGTGCATTTGAGTATATTTTTAACAAGAAGGAGCACCTGGGGTGTTTACATTTCATAATTTTGTTTCGCAGCTCCACTATATGCATTCATCATTTAATGCAGGTCTGTTTAGTTAATGTCACTTAAAGTAAGAACTTTTTTTTTTTTAAATAGAATAACTATTGACAGGAACAATCTTCATCATGCGTTAATCACAAGTGCCGTCTTGTATTTCTGGTTTTGCGGAGGCATTGGGCAACACCTCCGAGGCGGAAGTTGAGGAACAAAACAACAGGGGCTTACCTCATCATAATTGTAGCGGTAGTCTGCTTTTTTGGACTTCAGGTCCCACAACACCACCACACCGCACTCAAATCCAATGAGGAGCTTTGGTGACAAGAGCACGCGCACACGCACACGCACACGCACACACACACACACACACACACACACACACACACACACGCAAACGCACGCACACACACAGACAGACAAATTGCGTCATACCACTCGTGACCATTCAGTTGGGCATTTATTTGCATTCTAAAACTAATTGGGATTAATTAAGAGCAGGTCATGCTTTGTTGTCATCTGTTGTCATTTTAAAGGGCAGTTTGTGGTCCAGAAATGTCAGTGAGACTTGGCCAAAAGTATTCATAGTATGGCCAAATTGAGAGTTTTAAACTATAACTTCAATGGAGAATGACATGAGACAGTAACAAAAGACGAGAGATTAACAGACCCTTGTATTCCCATTTTAAATTGAAAATTCTTCTGACTGTGGTTCATTTGGGCGAATTCCCTTTTCGGAGTTCATCAAAAAGCTTCTCTCGTTCGTACGAGCCCTGGGATTCCCCTTCAAATGAATGCTTCACACTAATGGGCAAACTTCCTGTTCACTTCCAGACAAGAGTCCTTGAGACTTTCTCATGCATTGTCTCATTTCCATCCAAAAGCACCCAATGCCAAACACGAACATTAGTTTTGGCCACACTATGAATCATTTGCGGCCTTTGCTACGTGTCAGTTGATTGCAGGGGTTACCTTTCCTTCATCCATGGGGTTATCACTGATGTGCACTACAGGCCCTGGGTGTGTCTTGGTGGATCTGTGCGGAGGTTAAAAGGGAGGAAAGAAAAACAGGTGTCTACGGTTAGCCACTGTTGCATTCTAACTATTAGCATGCAGCTAACACAACATTAAAATGAGATACTGTGACAGTGTTTGGACGAGAAACGCTCGTGTTCACATGCCATGGTTAGTATTGTTACGCTTAGGGAGGGGGGAAGAAGACAAAAAAAAAAGCAAGACCATTTTAAGTCTCATTTGGGAAGGAAGCGTGCCACAGAGTAGAAAATAGGAAGGAAAGAGAGAGAGAGAGAAAGGGAGAGAGAGAGAAAGAGAGAAAGAGAGAGAGAGAGAGAGAGGACAGGGTCACATGAGGGTCCAGGAGAGATTACAGAGTGCAGAGACTGCATCACCGTGGAAACAGAGAGCGGAAAGAAGTGTGCGTCTGGCCTAAGAGAAAAGTGTCGCAGACTGTGAGTGCGGTGATCTGGCTCGGCTGGCTAATGATCTCATTGCTGCTGAGTCGATATAGCAGCAGCAAGGGGGGGGGGGGGGGGGGAGGGGGGGGGGGGGGGGGGGGGGGGGGGGCAAAGTGGGAGCGGTGTCCAACAGCAACTCCACTCAGTAATCATCACAATGTGACACATCATACATTTCAAATAAACAGAGTGACCCTGTTTAATCGCAGGTGATGGATTCCAGACAACCTATGATCGGTGAAAATCTGTAATAGGTAGAAAAAGGCATCCTCGTGTAAATTACACTCAGCAAAATATTACTTTTTGCTTTGTTCTTGCTTGTATTATGAGTATGTTGGGAAAGTTTGATATATAGTATGGGGGCATTTTATTTCAAGATACCGAGTGTGGATGGTATGATAAACAATGACTTCTCGGCCATGTGCACTGTGTAACCCAGGCAATGTGAGATCTTGCCTTATGGCATCATTCAGTGAGTCGTTGCCCGGCCGCCCGACTGAAAAATTTCTGGCTTTGCCCTGGAATACGAGCAGTGCAAGTCATAAAATATCAAATGAGTACACAAATTAATTTACCAAGTAGATGCTGACGTATGCAGCATTTAGCGAAAAGCATAACTCGGGAAATTATCAGCATGTTTCCCTCTAACCTTTAAGTCTTGAGAGATGTCTTCAAAGGGTGAGTCGTTGTAGTTTATTTTTGTTTCACAATCCTGTGATTTCACTTATTTTACACTTGATGTCAAAACGAAACACTGTGTGAACCTCTATGTTAAGGTTTTTACTGATCACTTCCTGTTTACAAATAAGAACAACTTACAATTCAAACAGCAACGCTTCTAATTGTAATTGTAATGACAACTTCGAGTAAAGGAAGTTAAAAGCTGTCATCTTCTGTATTGGGTTGAATATGATTTTTTGGGGGGCTCCTATTTCACTTCGTTTTGCATTCACATTGCAATTTATGCTCAAATATCTCCAACAGAGGGGTGGGGGAAGAGCAAGGGAGGTGGGTGAAGGGATGGATGGAATGGGGGACTCACAGTTCGATGGCTTTATTCCACATGATGACGTAGCCTGAGAGGGTAAAGGATTCCACGTTGACAATATGGATGTTGCCTCTTTCCGTGCCGATGTAAAGCCACTTGCTCTGGAAGGGCAGGTGGCAGTACGTGATTCTGCGGGAGGACATCGAGATGAAGACCTTGACGTAAATATCCCTTACGTGTTTCTGTTGCATTTAACCAGTTGGTACCAAATAGTACCGCGGTAAACTGCAATCCACATGTCTCTCAGAACGAATCATGTTAACAAACGTTCGAGAATGACATGGTTCTCCGGTTATTTACGACCTGTGGTGAAAAGGGCCCAAATATCACTACAAAAGTAGGCTGGTGGTAACCAAACTTGGGATCAGGCTCAAGATTTTTTTTTTTTTTTTAACAGTCAGCTGATTTGGCACAGGAAGCAGTCCCCAATCTATTTTGCACCACAGACCGGTTTCACACAAAGACACATTTTGGCTATCGGAGCAGGTGCACAGCGATACCGAGACATCCACAAAATAACGAATAACCCACCATTCGTAGCCACCGTCAACTGCCGCATGATTGTTGCTGTTGGAAGAAGAGTTTCTTGTGCAGCGCATAAATACACGGCTAAGATCAACTGCGCTGAGAAAGGCACAAATCTGCTCATGACGTCATTCCATTCGGTACATTCACTGATTTTCTTCATTTTTTTTTTTTTTATTGTTACGGAGTTGCTTTATTTTGAAAGTTTTCCGTCCTATTGTGAAACGCGAACAGGATGTTGTTGCGTTAGGCGCTTCCTGTTTAGTGTCTTGCAAGAAAGATACGCAAGAAAGCTTGACTGCAGCTCCGTGTCCTTAGTCAAGCACAGCCTCCACGTGTGCATATTGTAAATAGTCAGGGTGACATGTAAAGTCAGTCATAATTTGTGGGGTTTGTTGACTGTGAATTTGCACTCTGAGACACGTTAAAGATGTTTCCTTAAATTAGAATTTCAGATAACTAGCAATTAACATTGAGCTACCAAATAGTATTTAAGCAACCGATTAGCATGTTAGCTCCGAAACGTTCGCATGCAAGCTTAGTCGACTTTTCATCATATAGTAGGCAAGTGGGGAGCATCAGATTGTTTTATTTCATTGAACAAAAGCATTTAAACGTGTTTATGTGTTTGTTGTTAGTTTTACACCTTTCTGAGTCATCTCTACGGTGAATAAAATCACAAGAGTCATCCACTGGCGTTCCCTATCTGTCTCGCTATAGCGGAGGACATACCAAGGGGAGAATACAAAATGCTTGGCATGCAAATGCACAGCTATACACTCCAATCTGTTGCGCATTTATTTTTTTTCAGTGCATCCCTGTATATAACTTTGCAACTCACAATAGTGCTTACTTCAGCCAATGCAAAAAGCAACAATAGCAAGTTGAGTCATGACAAAGTCGTGCTATGTGCTTGATGAAGTATCCTGATGGTTCCTCAACTTTGGTCTAAAATGTATTCTGGGTCCATTGCCAGGGTAAAAAAAAAAAACAATTATTACAAAAGGGCGGACACAAGAGACACCATTACTGCCCACAATTGTTGAACTGTAAGCAAGAGTGACAGGCTAAGATTGAATTACAAAGGCCTCGCTCCTGTTCACACAAATGAAGCGGACTATATATATAGAGCAGTGATGGACGGGACCTGTGTGAATCTGTAGCGTTACCATCGCATACAAGTCTGACTGTACCTCTCCCTGTTGAATTTGAGTGAATGCAGGATGGCAGGGATCTTTTGCCTCAGGTTCCACAGGTGGATGCTGTCATCAGCTAAGGCACTCACTAGCGCCCCCTGAGGAAAGAAAGAGCCGCATTACGTCCCATGACGGCCGTAGGAGGGCATTGGGCGAGCACGGTGGTAACAAAACTAACAGGAGGGCTTCATCGGGAATAATCATGACATCATGGTTCGCCCGGCAAGAGGAATGCATACTGTTTCTTCTTTGCAAGAATAGCCCCCAAATAATTGGGCTACATCAAATTTTCAACTACGGAACTGCAACCTTCAAACAACAAGAGCTGTATCTTTCCGTGGGAACCTGTGCCAATATGGCGGATACAAAAGCAGTGCAACCACTGTCCCATACAAAAATTACAAATGTATAAATAAGATACACATTTATGGCATGCACAGTATAGAGTGTGTGTGTCACACACACACACACACACACACACACACACACACACACATATATATATATATATATATATACACATATATTAATAAAAGACACCCAATATTCTGAAGTAAATGCGAGTTATCATATGTCAGCATAAAAGAAGGACATTTATGATATTTTTTGCATGAAAACAGGTCAAATTTGACCAGAATAGTACGTAAGTATTAAAAAAAATCCAAACCTCGTTGATGAGAAACTGGAGCTGAATGACACCGGCGCCACTTTCATGTTGACAATAACACTCCACACCCGCTCGGCCGAAGCTGAGGGTTGGCTCGGTTAAGTCAAAACACACATGGACAGAGCAGGGACACACGCAAAGACTGACAACTTTTTGTTTTCTTTTCTCTTAACTCTTGTGAATTCCACAAACATTTTAGACACATTTGTGGCAAAATGTACATGAATGAATTGGTCTGAAAATCAAAAAATAATCGCATGTTAAATTTCAATTGCATTGAAGGGGAAAAAAAATATAGATTATTTTTCTCAATAGTTTAGCCGTAGTGTCAATCGCAAAGTGAGCAATATTATCGCTGGGAGGGCAGAACTTTCACTGCAGTATATCATCTCACTTTGATCATTAAGCAAGTGGTGCCCAGAGAAGTGCCCGCTATCCAAACAAATTGAGCGATTGCGCTTAAATCAAACGAGCAAGACTGTGGGTGGAAGGGGGGGTCTGTCTTGTTTACTGCCATGATTTGGGCTATAACTCTTGTTCAGCTCGGCCCCGGCGACAGCCATCTGCTCGTGTGACCGTTTCGCTGTCGCCTGCCTGCTTCGGATGCAGAGATGAAAAGGAAAATCGCAAGGAGGAGGCGGAGGAGAAGGCAGCGTGGACACCTGGACTCACTCGATGCCAGCAAAGTAGAGAAAATAAAAACACCTTCTGCAAACAGCGCAGGAGGAGACGCTCCAGACAAACAAGCTGCCTCTCCTGAAGGAACCCGGTGACACATCCGCGTCGCCATCCCGCCTTTTCAAACATCTCGACGGGACTCGGCGCAGGGGTCAAACAAAAGATTAAACCAACTGAGGCGGGGTTCTTTCAGGACTCCACAGTAGCCTGTCACACAGAAATGGTGGAAAAAAAATAAAAACTGCCCGAACAAAAGTGGCTTTTATCCAAAAAGGGCAGCATATTGCCACATCTGTGGGCGCTTTCTGACAGCATCCAGCAATCAAAGATTATCCAAATTGGGGCTGGTTTCTTTCAGGACTCCACAGTGGTGGCTTTTTTCACACAGACATACTGCAAAATTGATGAATAAATCTTCTTGCAAGAGTGACCTGGCCATTTGGTTATCATGTGCTGCTGCCTGCGCATGATAATCATGTGCTTGTTATTGCTTTCTCATTTTGTTTTGTTGCTCTTGTCTAGTGGCCCCCGCCCCCATATGATGATTAGCATTTTTTTAACCTAACACATCAGGTTCCTTCCTGCAGAGATGTTTGTCACAAGCAAAGCTGCTGATGTTGAAATGCTTCAGGCGAAATCCTTCAAGGGAGGAAATGTTTTACCAGTCAACCACTGCGACATTCACCTTGCGCCTCACCGCAAAACCGCAGCATTTTAGGCTTTTTTCCCCCTCAAATCTCTCAAAAAAATGTCTTGGCTCAAATCATCTTAAAATTGACGTCCGCTTGCCATGAAAAGTCAACATTTAAGGCCGCCCGTATGATAACGAGTAGTGGGCAGCGCATCCGCTCTAACAGGCAGATTAAACAAATGTGGCAGAGGACACATCTTGTAAAAGTCCCCATTTATTGCTTGTCGGCACCTCATTGAGCTGTGACGGCATTTTCCGAAGTCCGGGGGCAACGAGCGGCGGAGCAACCCATGCGACTTGTCTTTTGATAAATGGACCAATTGCCTGAGCGACAGTAATTCCATCAGCTCCACCTCACGCATCAGGACCGCACGGAAGCTAGAAACACTGTGTAAACACGGCAGTCTCAAAATCAGAGAACGCAGGCGGAGATCCATTGAAATGACAGCAGCAGACCACCTCCAAACTAAACAACTCAGTTGCTTTCCAACGTGAGCTAAAAAGGACCAACTTTGCGTACAAGGAGGATTTAACACAACAGGTCTTATCCTTGACTAAAATGGACAACTAGCTACTTTGAGGGTTCTCTGTGTGAAAGATCTATGTCTTAGTGGTTAACCGAAAATGTTTGACAGTTTGAAGAAAAATTGCTGAATCACTTGACTTGCATGAGTCTTGTTGTTAAAAAAAAAAAAAAAAAAAAAGGATACAGCCTCAAAGCTCCGGTCAGTGTCCCGACAGCCAAGATCTTCTGCACGGGGTCAAAGGCCATGGAAGATGGCTGATGCGGGAAACCATGACGCACAGTCTAGGAGAGAAATGAAGCACAATTCTGATCAGAGCCAGCAAGCACAGTTATTTGCTGCATAATAAATATGTTCATAACCAAGGTACAGATGATATGTTCTTAAAATAACAACAAAAAAAAAAAAATTCAGATGCAGTTCAACTGCAGACTTTCTGCTTAAATTCAGTGGGGTGAACAAAAAATTCTGAGGAACTAAAGGAATTTTTATTAAACGCGTCTTCATTTCAGAGGCTCAAAATTGGACAATTTAAGTCAATTAAATTTGAAAACCTTTTGCTGGTAATGACTGCCTGAAGGCTTGACGCATGTTTTCTGATGTACGAAACACAGCGCAGGCATGAAGCCAAGCACATTTCCTGTCATACATCTCAATCAATGAATGGAGAAAGGTTAGAAGACTCCTCCCTTCTCCACGCCGTTATATAAATATGCTAATTTGTATAAACAGTGCCTGCTGGTGGGAATAATCACACTGCATGATCACATAATCAGATTACCAAGCGATCAGTCAACAATGAAAAAAGATGAATTTCACAAAATGTGACCTGGAGATGGTGGTAAATGAAATATTTTCGCTACGCAGTCCCTTGAGGACAACACCTTCTAATAAGGTGCCACAGCGGCCCGAATTTTAGCTCAGCGATCTGCAGTCCCAAAGCGGAGACGCGGTGGTGGCTTAAATTTGATGCCTGAGTTCAGTGGACAATCCCTCCCCCTCCATTCGTCGGGAAAACAAACAAAAAAAAGTTATTGGGGGCAGTGAAACCATTCTTTGAATGCCATTGCCCGGCATCATCTCATCTCTATGACTCTCCAACGGCTCTCAAGCAAGAAAAACATGCTATCCAAGTAGTTGCCCTGGCACACTGCACAATTCCCACGGTCATTTCACTCTTGAAAAATCTGAATGTGAGCGTGCACAAGTGTGCATGCCACATTTCGGTCCCATGCCTTTTAGATACTTCATTGATCACAACACCGAATCAGAACCTCAGAACTGTGAGGTCACGTGTGTTTACCACGACACTGTGTTATGACACCACCTCAGAAAGTGAAGCATTGTAAACCAAGGACCCCTGGTACTGACTCATAATGCACTTCTAAACCCACAAAATGAATTCATATGGGGCAGGTTTTAAAATTGTCAAGTCACCAGAATCCTGAGCCTCAGAACTGTGAGGCGGACATGGTAAAACACCTGCACTTAAAGGCCAATTAATTAATAATTCCCCAATAAAATAACAATAATAGTCATGAACATAAATAATTTAGTGCCATGAGGTGATGTGAATAGATTAGTGCATTATTGTTTCTGCCCCCAAGACCTCACCACAGTGTAGCGTCAAGTCGACTTTCAACCACGGGAACGTGAAGCCTCACAGCCCGGCTAAGCGAGCGGACGAGTCCGGCAGGCTAGCCGCGACTGAATAAGTGAGCCGGGGGCGACAAGTCAGTGCGGCGCAAACAAGCTCTTTGGCAGCCAGCCATCACACACAAATCCGACGCGAACGTCCGTGAGAGCCTCGAGTTCTTTTATGAGTCCAAATGCCCCAACTCGGAGGCTACGAGCTGTCACTCCGGGAACAGGGGAGAAATACAGCACCTTGCAAAGCTGGAAATGCTCCGACTGCAGACTCTCCGGGACGGCGTCATTCTCCTTGCCGGCCCCCGTCTGCGAGGCCGACGACGACGACGAAGAGACCGCAGTTAACCCGTCCAAAACCTTACGAATGTTGAACTTCTTCATTTTCTTTGGTGGTGTTGGGAGGATGCGGTGAGTGGCACGCGAGCCGCACCGAGCGTGGCGAGCCGGGGTGCCGTCAAATAGCTAGCCGAGGGTTGGGGAGGGCTTAGCCAGGCAGTGAGCTAACTGGTTAGCTTGACGAACGCACACTTTTCAACGCCGCCGTTCCGTATCCATCTCGCGGGTTGCGGGAGATGTCGCCGAAAGGCATCGACTGGAAACTACCTCCACGTCGTGGCCCAGCGTCAATGTGGCATTTACGCGATGCGCGCTGGCGATGTTCGAGCGAGAGGCGACTAGCCGAGCTGCAGACAGCCCGTTTCTCTGCCCCCACTCCCACTAGCGGCGAGTGGGGCGGAGGGAAAGGAAGGAAGGAAGCTAGCTGCTAGCCGTTAGCTGCTAACAGGCTACGGAAACGTGGGAGGACCCGGATGTGCAAGACCTTTTTGTGCGACCAGTCCAATAATAAGAATAACAATGATAATAATAACTTAAAAACACTTACATCACTAATGGTAGTTATACTACTATTAATAATAGCCAGTGTGAAATTAGCGATGGTATACTGTATTTTCATTGGAGAATAAGATTTTGGTTATTTATGTTGTCATTATGTATTTGATATTTTGTGTAAAGCGCTTCGTTACACCTCCAGATGCTGTGAAAGCACCATTTGAATAAAGTTGAGTTGATAAAAATAACAATTATAGTGATGCTAATGCTACACATGCTTATTTTTATGGTTTGTCGTGCAGAACTGTGCTGGAAATGGATTCCACCTAAACCGGTTTCTAATACACTGTTTACCTACAAATGAAAAAGGAGCATTACTTTGTTACCTTTGTGGTGGTACATGTATGGATACAGCTCTTGTACTGGGTCTTTAAATGACAAGAAAACCACCTAATTGAGGTAGGTCATCATGTTCAAAGAGGAACCACTTTGGCATAGTGACTATGTTATCAGAAAATTGAACGTCTCAACACAGGCCAAATGTGAGTAGAGGAACTTGCAATTTGGTGGCAAGTGTAAAACGTCCTGCATGAAGCATAACAATACATTAGTGGGGACTGATGTTCCTTACTAACAACATGAAGATATGAGTAAAACTTCATATCAGTTCAAGTGAGCCCACCCTATACTTGAATGTCTTATCGCACAGGATCTTTTCAGGTGAAATTTGACACATGGGGTATGGCTTTTGAAAGTGGCGCGTGAAAATAGGCCGCATTTCCTCCTTGGAGTCAAAGCAGGCGGATTGAGTTCCAGAACAGGAAAATCTGGTCAGATGAATGTCTGCTTAAATAGGTTGACACTTTGAGATAACCTACATTTCCAATTCTTGGCATATTCACATGTCATTGGCAACATCCTTTCTAACTACACATTTATTTTCATATCTACCTATCTATCTCCATATCTATCTATTTAACCAACTAGTTATCTCATCATCTATCTAAAGTGGATACAAAACGTCAACACACATTTTCAAATGCCAAGATTTTGTGATTTAAAAAAAACGAGACAAAGATGAATCAATCAACCTGTGCAATCCAAATAAAAACGGAGGTCTTTTCGAGAGGCTGAGGAAGTGAAAATAAAATGTGCCCTAACATTCTGTGAATTCATTTTTACAAAATTCCAATTTATTATTCCTTGTGGGAAAAGGGAAACTGGAGTGAAAGATAAAATGTGGAGCCATATAAATTTATAAATCAGATCTGTGTGAGTGTGATGGCATAAAAGATCGGGAGGGAGATGAGGAGCATCGATATTGAGGTCTCTCATATCTGGGACATCAGGACATAATTAGACAATCTTTACTGTCTTTGGCGGAGTTGGGTTGTGACGTAAACGATAATCCTTTGTAGGTCTGTTTGACAGCTCAGTGCTGCTTCACACAGTAGTAGAGAGACAGAACAGAGATATTGACATTTTTCTGGCTGACATTGAAGGCAGCCTAGAATGGTGAACAACCTCCCCTTTTCACATAGAGATACCTCAAGATTGCCGCATCAGTGAGGTAATAAAAAGAACAGTACGCTACCAATGCCTTTTGCGCAGAGCCCAGAGAAGGTGCAACATGCGAACATGCACTTTCATGCAGAAAAGATGCTAGATTACCATCGTAGAAAGTCCACTCTAGCTCAGGAACTTGAGAAGGCCTGACCGTGTAAGAGGGGCCATGGACATACTTCATTCAGAATTACCTGACACCTCTGCGCAAAAAAATGTTTGACTTTACTTTCCCTTTAATTTATTTCAAGCACAATACTAAATGTCACAATACTAAATGTTTGATTAAGTCTTCCTTGTATTTATGCAATAAAAAAAAGAACTTGAATCATCCACCTGAATGCAGAAAACAAACATCTCCTGTATGCCAAGTTTGCATGTTCTACCTGTGCCTGTGTGGGTTTTCTACGGGTACTCCATTTTTTTGCTGCAGTCCAAAACATACGTTAGGTTAATTGAACACTCTACATTGACCATAGGTGAGACTGTGAGTGTGAATGGTTGTTTGTCTATGTGTGCCCTGGAACCAGTTCAGTGTGGACCTCACCTCCTACCCGAAGACAGCTGGGATAGGCTCCAGAACGCCTGCGAACCTCGTGAGGATAAGCCGTTCAGATAACAGATGAATGGATATTTACCAACATTGATCGATTACTTTGGGGCTTTTGGATCACTTGAGTTACTGTTGGCGTGTGGTGGATTAGTCTGGGTGTCGCTAGAGGGAGTCAAAGACTAACTTGACAGCACAAGTTCAATGTCGCGCTGGGGCCCCTGTAAATCATAGGCTCTGTCGAGTAAGTTTGTAGTTATGTCTTGAAGAAATGGGCCACCTAATTTGGGAGAAGAAGCTCCATTTGTTAGAGATCTCTATTATGGGTCACATATGCCGGCAATTGTTGAGTTTTACATTTACTTTTGGCGCAGTGGCTGAATTATCTTTAGGGAAAGAAATTGAGTTACTATTTTAATTGGAAAGTCTGGCCGTTCGGGGGTATATATATATATATAAAATTTAAATTGAGTACCATCTTGGATTTAATGCAAAAGCATCCAATATAAATTATAAATACTGTATTGAAACTTGTCAAAATTTCTTCCAGGTTTAGTTTTACCCACAATCACCACGATGATTTGTCAAGCCCAAATTTTAAATTTACATCCGATAATTGTAAGACACATCTTGATTATTTTTTGCTTTAAGACAAAAAAAAAAAAAAAACGGAAGTAAAATCGGAAGCAGGTGAGCGGCCATGATGTCACACACCTGCGCCGACGACGGTAACGTCACGTATTTGGTCGAAAAAAACAAAAACAAAATGGACGACCCTCGAGAACTTCTCTAAATTATTTTTTTAAGTTAGTGTGTATTTTGATATACAGCGTAGTGCCTCATCAAGGTTGGAGGTAAGAACATGTAATTAACTCCAATCATTTTCTTCTTTTCTTGCTGATACGGTCGGTAAGGTTCAGGTGAATACATTTTGGCTGTTACGATTGAAAAATGACGAGGGCGTCGTGAGAGGCGGTATCAACCCGGTGTTTCCTCCAGTTGTTGTTGTTGTTGTTGGTGGTGGTGGTTGCGGTGGAAGCGAGGCCAGTCAAACCCTCCCCTGAATCCCAACTCCTTCTGACTCGCCCGCCCCCGGTACGCAGGGCGGTCGTCAAGTTTCCCCACATCGCCGCTGCCCACCCACCTATTGGAAGTTTCTTCAGCCCGCCACAGCACGACAGGTACGCCGAGCGGGGCGGAAGACCGGTGGGAGAGGCGGCGCCGCTTAACATCAAGTTTGTGGTTGTTTTAGGACGACCATTCGGGGGACAAACATGACACAGCAAGGCAAGAAGGTGATTCTGGTGGTTGTGGATGTCCTCTGCGTGTTCATCGGTGAGTTTTGTTTGGTTACGTACGCTATTTACCTTTTTTATTCTTCAAACGTAGTGAATATCAATAAGCGGTGCAAAATGACATGTGACATTGCTCAACACAAGCACATGGTTTATCCATGTATCATCCTATCGCTGACCTCACAACATGTTACACCATGCAGACGAGACTAGGAAACACGCAGTGTTTAATACATAGTTGGTGGCTTAGTGCAACGTTTCCCACCTTTTAATGAACCAAAGCACATATTTTACATTGGAAAAATCTCTCAAAGCTTCTCAAATTTTTTTAAATGCAAATAATGATTGGGTGGGGAAAATGGAAGAACATTACTTGGTGTCTCTGTCACTATACGTCGCTTGCAAAGATCAATAAAAGTGCATCATTTATCAGATTTGAATTATAATTTTGGATCATTTCCTAGGGCAGACCTGATGATCTCACAAGACACATAAGAGAGGTTTTGGAATCAGTGGGTTAGCGTTACAGCACTGAAAGTTGTCTGTCTATCTTGTTCAAACAGGCCACAGTCAGTGTGTGTTTCCCAACACAGATTTTAAAGAATGCTGCAGGGTCTCGTGTTGCGTGCACACGTTCACACAAAGTGCTGTCGAATTATTTAGGACTGTTGACGTCTCATCTGGTCGTTAGATTTGTAATATGGATTTTAAAATATTTACACTTGGGGCTGACTTCCCTTTTGTTGGCATTTGATTCCATTTGCACGCAACATAACGGCTAAATGCTGCGTCGCCATGTTTGCTTTGAACTCTGAGCTTCACTAATTGACCGGAGTCTGGAAATCTCAAGTCAAAGTGTTTAATTAATTTGCAACATTAATTGAAGTAGTCTTTCATATTAATCGATTCAAAATCAAACGTGGCCCTGAAACATAAAAGTTAGCCTACATAAGCAGTCGGTCTAAAGTCTCAACATTCCTCACTCACTGCGAGACGATTAATCGACAACTTCACACAACCGACAGAATTAGGAACGATTATTATGCCCGTCTTGTTTGATTACTGATGATTACTCTAAGAGAATTGGCGTCGATATATGTTTGTCCTTGTGATGTTTGCACTTTTTCCAATTCTTCACGTCCGTAAGTTACACAAACAATTAACCAAGTGTGTGTGCGCGCGCATGTGCGCGTGTGTGTGTCCGCACATGCGTGTGCGCCATACAAAATGGCCTGTCGCGACTTGCCCGGATCTCCGCGATGGCACTCGAACTTGTCAGAATTGAGGTTCTCCAGGTGTTGTTGGTGTCGCATCTTCGTCAAAGCAGGTTCGAGGTGAGAAGACAACGTAATCTGAAAGCTGTAACAGCAGCTGAATTTTTAGACATACCGGTAATTCCTCTATTGGCTGTCATTTAGTTTCGCAGGGCATTTGTTTGGGCGAAAGGGCGCGCTCGTTATAGTTCACAAGTTGACCTTCTTGGCGTATTTCAGACACAAACAAATGGATGAAGTTCTTTACCATAATTTTGCCATGAATTTTGATCATGTTTGCAAAGAGTTTCTCCAGTCCACTAGCTCATGACGCCATCCGCTGAGAATCTTCATGACCTTTAAGCCTATTCGTGGCTCCATTAAGGATTACTGATTGGAAGCAAGAGTAAAAATAGACGGTTGTTGCAAGTCTATCAGCACGTTAGGTTCGCCGGTGGTGCAAAGCTCAGGTTTCAAGAGATTTAAAATGGAACAGCTGATTTCACCCTCGGGCTAGTCACAGATAGCAGTAGGACGATGAGAAAGTGAAAAGGACTGTCCAGATTGTGCAGGTCAAAGCTGAAACGCAGCTGTGAGAAGTGGGTTACCTTTGGGCCTACAAATCTATTAATTTGATACCGGACCGCACAGATAAATAAAAACGAATAAATGAATTTGAAACAAATGTTTTGTTTGTAGCAAAGCATACATGGCCCGATCTGGAAAATACTTTGACTTCAATCTGCGGAACCAACTGTTCTCCATTTTCAAAGTGGTAGTTTCGCCCGATTAAATTAATCAGCCGATTAATCGGGCGACACTGCCACTTTGAATCGGACTCAATGCACGGATTCCAATTGTATATTTTGCTTTTTCTTTGTATAAACAAATGGCGCTGCATCGTGCCTTGTACTTGCCCGCAGCTCTTTAGAAAGACACTCGGAGTTGTTCTTTGCCCTCTGGGCCACCTGGTGACTGACACGCAGGAATGACAATAACCGTACTCTCTGCTTTTTTTTTCCCCCCCACCCTACAAACCACTCCCCCACCCCCTTTAACCACTAGATGTATTTGCACGCTGTCAACACTCCAGTCGTCCTTTTTTTTTATTGACAGCCATTCCCATCTTTAGCCCTGTCAGGTTAAAACATCCACTTGACTAAATACCAGGAGAAGATCAGCGAATAGATTTAATGTGCTTTTGGAGTTGTGATGTCATGACTTCACGTTTGTGTGAAGTTGCGTATGTCGAGTGTGTGTGCTTTATTTGGGAACCTCCCACACTGCTACAAAAAAAAAAAAAAAAGTTTTCTTGTTTTGTAGCATGGGCATATATTCACTAATACCAACCTCCTTTTCATGAATGTTTACCGGTCCCCCAAGTATCCATCCTACCACGAATCGGTCCCTGGCAAAAAAAAAATAGTTAGGGACCAGTGGTTTAAAGTTTAAACTTTAAACAATCATTGAAAAAAAAAACACCCAGACAAAAGTGTGGATGCATGCATGAATGCGCGCGTGTGTGTGTGTGCGTGTGTGTGTGTGTGCGTGTGTGTGTGTGTGTGTGTGTGTGTGTGTGTGTGTGTGTGTGTGTGTGTGTGTGTGTGTGTGTGTGTGTGTGAGACAGACGCAGCTGGAATGTGCTGAATGCCCACATTGGAGGTAAACTCTCAATCCGTGTGTTTTATTCTGCCCCCTTCAAATGTCTACCGTGTCACTTTGTGTTACCTCTCGATCGTTGAGCGTTGCCCTCCTGTAGAGATAGTTACAAGCCCCTTGGAAAATGCTGCTTTTTTGGGGGGGGATTAGTGGCACCAATGCTCAATGTGAATAAGTTGAACCAATACTTAGTCACCGATACAGTATCACTTTAGTTGTCCTGCCACTATTTCAATTTATAGGTTGCGGTGTTCTCAAGAAGCAGTCTTGTGCTGTGTTATCTGAGTGCAGTTGATGTCATGGTCAATAAAAGTTTGTTTTCTATTTTTTGAACAATATTGGGTTGAAACTAATCACATTCTCATTATAGTTGCAAGATGTTTTGCATTTATATAACAGTTTGTAGAAACAGATAAGATGTGTAACGAACTGTTCAGCATTTTATTGTCGAATGTTACCAAGCTAAATACGATAACGTACGAGCTCATAAACGCACCACTTGTTCGCGAAGTGACGTCACAACCACAGTAGCAATGTCACCGACTAAAATAACACATTTGAGTTCGCCTGGTTTGTTAAAAAAATTATCTGTCAGACCGGCATACGTGTCAGGCTCACAGCACCATAGTGTGCAGTCATTTGCGTCGAATAAACTGCATGTGAAAAGTAATCCGACAGTTCTCGCCAGCACTGCTAGCCGTTAGCGCGGCTGCTGCTGAGCACTGGCAGCGGGCGCCGTAGAATACAGTCAGTGTCAGCGTAATCAAGTCGGTTTTTCAGTGCCCTTAATCGGTGATTGAGCGTTATTTCAGGATGCCGTTGTCAAAGTCGGGAGCAACTAGCAACAACTTGAGACAGGATTGCCTCAGTTTGGAAAACAATGCGTATTATGCTATGGAAAGGATCTGCATCACGGGACGATAATATTTAGCCGTACCACACACATTCTTAGTATCTGCCAAATATGTGTCAGAGTAAAAGTGGGAACTATTGACTCTTGTTGCCTCACGTTCCCGTGTGAAAATGAAAGTGAGAAGGTGAAGAGAAAGTGTGTGTGTTCGTGTGCATGTGTGTGTGTTTTGTTGAGTTCCCATCATTCCTTTCAGTTAAGTCATGTTTCATGTGTCCAATGTTTGTCTATGTAGAAGGTTATTTAAAAAAAAAAATCCCATGGTAAGTGTAAGACTTGATATCTTTGCGGCGTGCCTGTCACTCTCATTTCAGTATTATTAAAAGGTCACTTAGGTTTTTTTTTTCCGGCGCTTTAACTCAACTTGACATGCTTCTTCTTTCACAGCAGGTCCGGACAGGTTGTCCTGTGTTTGTTGGAGCTTATCTCCTACATTGACCTTGAATGATAGAAAGATCAATGCATAAAAATAAAGAAAGAAAGAAAGAAATAGTCAAGGAATTTAAAGGTCAGAAATTACTTTACGTACTTTTTCAGCTGTTCCAAATTAAATTTAGTGATGACCTGACCAAACTGTTAGACTCATGTATTCTTTGCTGGCATCAACCATTAATATTACAATTTTTTGGTTGTTGTACTGCTGAAGGATGTAGTAGTCATTTATCATTAGGGCACAAAAAAAAGTTTTTTCCCCCCAGTAGAAATTCTGTGAGAGAGGTAACATGTTGCCGATCTTGTAACACTCCAGTGTGACGTGGACTCGGCAGACGTCGCGAATCGCCGCGAGGCAACAAAATGCAGCTAAATATCAGTTTCGTGTGGAGTCTGCCCGTCCAGTCCTCAAACATAACGTTCGCCTCCAAACACTCACCTGCTCCCATCTCTGCCTCACTCGCGGATCCTCGGGACACCGATCGTCAAGGCCCTGAAAAACAGGAACACTTTCTACTTCCTGCTGGTGCAGAGGGTCAAGAGGAAGTTGTACTCGAGTCTGATCCCAAATTCCATCTTGTTTATTTTTCCAGCGTGGAATCGTGGGGGTTTGGGAAAGTTTGAAACTATCCTTTCCCTTGTTTCGTTTAAAATCTCTCCTTGAAGAAAGTGTCATCTTAAGCGCCTCTCAATTTTTTTTTTTGTGTGGAAAGGTTGACATAAACAAAAAACAAAAAAAAACACAACCTTAATGTAAAAACATCCGGGTTGCTTCGAATCTGTTACGTCATTGTAATTAATGTTGCGTGGGTCTCAATCAGGGGCAGAGCCAGAAAATTTTCAGTCGGTTGGCCAGGACAACGCAACATCTCAGTGGCAAGCATGCGTGCGTCATTCTTTATCTTTCTTTATTGCCCCTTTTACTTTGGTTTGTTCCCGCTTGTATTATGACGGCGTGTGCAAGATAAGTATATGTATGCGTTTTATTTCATGAAGCCATGCCTGTGGATTGTATGATAAACTATGACTTCTTGGCCCCGTTGCTTGCTCTGAAAGTCATGAATTACATTTTATGTTGGCACGAAGAATTTAATGTTCATTACTCAAGACCTTTCGAGTTGTCATTCAGATCAATTATATATTTATTCTTTAAATATGCACTTAGTGTAAATAACTTGTGGCAGAGTATAAAGCAGTCTAAGAATACTGCATCCATGTGAAAATGGCAGATTACCTGCACAGGTTTAATAAAAGCAAGGAGTGTATTCTCAGAAAGTATAGTTTCGTTTCAAATGTAGGGAGTTTTTTAAAAAAAAATTAAAAAATACCGGTAAGTGCAGTCATGAAATTTTGGTACTTTTAATTATTTCCCACCAGTGCCACAATGCCAGAGGTTTTTGGGACGTCTGATAAAAAGAGGAGGCCACTTCCTCACTGATTGTGCCAGGGAAGGAGCTGGTGGTGTGTTTGTTTTGAAGGCAGAACCGTTGCACAACTGCGCCCGATCGTGTGGCCACACCGGCAGCAGACTTCTGTCACACAAGCACTCTCTTATCAAAACGTTGTGCTTGCACCCTGCTGAGTAAACAGTAGCCGGGGCGCCCTTCAAAGAGGGGCGCAGCGCATGCTCGACTTGCCGAAATAATGGATGTGAGTCTTCTGAGCCAAGGGTGGGGAGTTTGCTTTCATCTAAACTTTAAGGTCAAGCGTGAAGTAAACTTGGCGAAACATTTTTTTGAGGAGCACTTAGGGCTCAAACGATTTCAAGCATACTTTCGTTAGATATTTTTTAATGCAGCCCTCCCAGGTTCATAGTTTGACCCATAGCACCCGCAGCGGCTCCTCTCTCTCCTGAGGAAAGAAATATCATCTGTGCTGTATGTTGCACATGTAGCACATTTGACAATAAAGTTGACATGAACATGAATAGCAATGCGCTGAACAACGAAAATGCTTTTGTTCAGCAACCTCCGACGAGTGAAGTCACTTACAGAATGTAATCCCGTCATGCGCAATTAACAGCAGGGCATGGCCTCGAATTGCAAACAATAACGCTAGCCTAATAATTGCTAATAATATAGCTGAGCGTTCTTCCAATCCTGATGTGTTTCGTCCCCACTCCATGTTCAGCCACAGCATTTTCCGCATCCTGAGCATCTGGCTCGTACATGTATGTTCCAACATACATCTTGACAACAACCCCCTCTTCCTCCAACCCTTCAAACTCCTGGATCCCCCCCCCCCCCAGGAAAATGATTAATTTAATGAAATAGAAATTATTTTTTCATGCTTCATTGAGTTTATTTTATTTAATTAACTGTGACATAAAACTATTTTGTTTGGGTTTTTCTAAAAGGACTTCACTCTTGACCTTCAACTTGAATGAGGAATTTGGAATTTTATGTTTTGTTTTTCCCTTCTAAAAAGGGAAACCATTTTGAGGGTGTTTTGATTGGATTTTCCAGTTTTGTCCCCCAGGTACTTTTTTTTTGTTGTAACGAACTCACCTATTTGCAAAGATGTGGTGAATAGGAAAGTAGTAAGTATGTTAAAGTCATACACCTTGACTGATTTGAAATGGTATTGAAGTGTTTCACAATTCTAGTTTTTGTGGTACATTTACAGTAAAAAAATATTGAAATAGCAAGACAGAAACACAATCTACTGTTGGCATCAGAATTCTATTCTTTGCATCGTGTATATTTGGTTGCGTTTTCATTCAGTCACAGTGAGCCGGTCCCACACTCTGGAGGAAGGAAGCAATGTGTTAACGGAGAGCTTTCTCTCTCTCTCTCTCTCTGCATACTTCATAAACCTTAGCCTAAGAAAACCATCCATTCTTCTCGGGTATTAGCTTTGGCAGTCGAACCACAAGTTCAGGAAAACAGGAAAAGTCATTTGAATTGTGGGCTATTGTTCTGCTCAGATTTAAGAGACAGCAATATATCCTCCTCTCTTTAATTCTGCTTGCACTTGGAGTCTTTTTTAAGTATGAAGGGTCGAGTGATTTGACTTTTTTTTTTTTTTCCCAACCTGTTGACGGAGCTCGCCGAGGGCCACGGCCTAAAGATTGGCCTCGACCATGTCTCCATGGTGACGCCGAGAACAACATTTCATTGGAGCGGCTGAGTCAAATGTTTTCACTGTGTGGTTTTAGCTGTTTCCTGATCAGCCGCTCATTGTCGTACAATCGCCCCATGGGACGGACCCGAACCTCTCTCAACATGCCGCGGGTCCGAATGATACCACTGAACGTCCCTGTCATGACCCGTGCACGCTTAGAAATGTCATAGCTGACCATGGAAAAGCACATGAGGTATATTGTGTTGGCTTCAAAGATACAGTACACCCATTTTAGCCACCTTTTGCTTGTGCACTATAAAAGGCTAATATGATTGGGTCTTGTCTGGTACTTGTGTTGGGTATTGCGTATCTCAGCGCTGTCAAACTCATTTTTGTCGCGGGCCAGTTGTGTCTTACGTCGTCTCGTTTAATCATCACATTATAAGATAACTTGTGCACGAAAAATTGACAGATGACTAGTTTTGAAGTAAATCAGCGATATGTTTGTTGTTTGATCAATTATTGTTCAAGTGAGTGTAAACAGGGTAAAAAAATTATGGCAAAATGTCAATGTTATTTATCACCTATGACAATTTAATAGTTCAGTACAGATTTTAGCAAGGATCATGAAAGTTGACACACATGATTTGCTTTCACGGGCCACATCAAATGACGTGACGGGCTGGATCTGGGTCTTAGCTTGGTCTTAACTAGGACTAGATCATGGTTGAGCCTCACCATCTTGTGGTCTAGTTTTAGCTTGTCCTTTCCTCTTATTACTCTGCTCTTTATACTGCTCTTAGCACCACAAGCACTTTTTGTCTTATTTCTCACAACCACCGCTCTGTTTTTAAACATTTAAGTTTCCTCCCTGGCTTAATGCAACTCGATCTTCATGAGATTTTCTTCTTCCAGCGGCCCTGCCGTCAGCCATCCTGACGCTAATGTTCAGACCGTACCAGAGGGGCATCTACTGCGACGACGAGAGCATCAACTACCCTTACAGGAGAGACACCATCTCCCATGGAGCCATGGCCGCCGTCACCATCACCAGCTCCATAGTCATTGTGAGTAGAGGCCAATCTCCACCGGTCCGGCCCTGTACGTCCTTTTAGATGACCCGTAAAAGCTTTCAGCGGTGCACGGTGGTTGATCATTTGTGTTGTATGTTTTTTTGTTCTTCTGCTTGTATCTTATAAATTTAAAAAAAAAAAAAAAAAGATGTGGCCTGTAATGATTACAAGTTTAACAGCGTGATTCCGCTGCTCAGATCACGACCGGCGAGGCCTACCTGGTACACACCAAGCGTCTGCACTCCAACTCCCAGTTCAACCAGTACCTGTCAGCGCTCTACAAAATCGTGGGCACCTTCCTGTTCGGAGCGGCCGTCAGCCAGTCGCTCACTGACCTGGCCAAGTTCACCATCGGACGGCCCAGACCCAACTTCTTGGCCGTGTGCGCCCCTGCCAGCTGCAGCGGGTACCAGCTGCACATCAACTGCACCGGCAACCCGCGCAACGTCACAGAGTCCAGGTGGGTCGAACATGAATTGATTTGTGAAAGAAAGAATTGCACATTGATAGTAAAATTTCTCTTTCCTCTTGGTCAGGTTGTCCTTCTACTCGGGGCACTCGTCGTTCGGCATGTACTGCATGCTCTACCTCTCTGTGAGTTTCCAACACACACACACACACGCACATAAACACACACACTGACCGTGTGACGGTGCTGCATAGCTATATGTGCAGGCCCGCATGCAAGGCAAGTGGACACGTCTGGTGCGGCCCACCATCCAGTTTTTCCTGGTGGCCTTCTCCCTGTATGTGGGCTACACGCGCGTCTCCGACTACAAGCACCACTGGAGCGACGTGCTGGTGGGACTCCTGCAGGGGGCTCTCATCGCAGTTCTCACTGTGAGTACAACTGCACATCAAACTGTTTGGCTCAAAGACAAAAAAAAAAAAAATGTAATTCTACTGTCACTGAAATGTTTGTCAACTTTTAATAGAAATGCAAATTTACTTCATACGAGTAAGTCGATAGATTTACAAAGTACATTGTACATCAGGAGTTCCCAACCTGGTGGCCACGGGCATTAGGTAGCCCCAAGTGCCACGAGGATCTCGTGGGTCTTTTTTTTTTTTTTTTTTTTAATGGAAAAAAATAATTGCTCACCAGTGATGGAGCATCTTTTTTCTAGGAATGATTAATAATAACATTGAAGTAATCTGAGCAAGTTATTTCAAAAGTGTGTGTCAAAAGTAGTAATTCTCACTTTCAAAAATATTGATAACCCCTGCTGTGCGTGCATATCCAGAATAAACTCTGCATTTATAACATCTTGAAATTAATAGCTTGTGGAAATAAAACAAAAAAATAATTCATGGTGAAATATACAGCCAAAAATAGAAAAAAAAATCATGAAATACCAAGTCTATCATGAAAATAATGTATCCATATAGTTCATAGACTTACAATGAAGAAATCAAATCAGGACTACATCATGCATCCTAAGAAATATAATAAAAGCAATAAATATATTTTTTTTAAATCATAAGATGTAAACATTGAACCGGAGTGCTTTTTTCACATTTTTGCACAGGATAATGAATATATGCCTGTCAGTATTGTTGTATGTTCTGTCAGCACGTGTTGCAACCACAAAAATAAGATGTTATAAGTACCAATCCATTGAGGCTACTTTCATTCGCCCATCTGTGATGTTTTTCATTTTGCGTGAGTACTAATCGAGCAGACTCTTGTAAGACGGTGTCAATGGTGGTTTGATGTTTATTCCTCGTTCAGGTGAAATACGTCTCAGACTTTTTCAAGCAGCGCTGCAAGCCAGCGTGCACGCGGACGGACGCGGTCGACGGCGAGCATCTGGAAAGCAAACCCGTCCCGCCGCGTACCAACCACTACAACTACTCCCCGCCCGTATGACATGCCAACACACACCCACTTAGGCCATTTCATGTCCGTAACCACTCGCCGGAACTCTTCAAATCCCCCTCCACCAACACATTTGCATAGCTAGAAATACAAAGTGAAATGTGTTGTCTCAATATGTGCAATGACGCGATGCTTTTGTTACGGTTTGCTTGGAGTATCGATGCTGTGACTAGATGGAGAAACGTGTGAACAATTCAATCAGTTTTCTTTTGATTTCGGATAAGACTGCTTCACCACTAAAATGTTCTCTTTTATGAGCAGACCACTTACTGCTTGAGCTCAAACATTTTTATATTCAGTATTGTAATTTTTGTGCATCACTACCGTGTCTTATCGAATAAATTGTGCCATTATTTTTAACAATGTTGTTGTGCTCATGTGTCATGAAGAACACATGCTTTAGAGAAAATAACAAATGGTCATTTTTACCGGAATCGAGTCGGAATATAGAGAGGGGGGAAAAAAATTTATTTCAAGAGAAAAAAAATATTTTACAACCCAAAAATATTTTGGGTTATTTTTAAATGTTGTTGTCATCTTCTGAGAGTGACATCTGTATATCAAGAGAGAGATGTTTTCACTTTACCCGAAAGAACGTAACTCATTCATTCACTATTATTATCATTGACAGAATGAACTTGCAAATTCCGAGAACAAAAGGACACACTTTAGAACACAGGTGTCAAACTCAAAGCCCGGGCCCCAGGTCTGGCCCATTTCATTTTTTTTTTTTTGTGGCCCGCAAAAGAAAATCATGTGCATCAACTTTAATGATTCTTGACACAATCTGTACCAAATTTCAGCTTGCCATCTGTAATGACATTTTTTTTTCTTACCAAACCCATTTTTATAGTAACTAAACAAACTTTTATCCTAGGGTTCTGATTTAAAAACGAGTTATTTGTCACTTTTTTCTTTATTTGTAATGATTTAATAAGGGTGCTTCAACTTTCAGATGGTTTCAGGGTTGTCACGGCCATCCGAGAGGAACTGGAACTTGCAAAGTTGTGAATTATAATTTGAAAGAAAATTTTAAATCACAGGATATTGCACAAGAAAGAACAACAAATGTAAACAGTGTGTTATTTCAGATACATTGCCATTTGTAGTAGGTGATTGTGATTTTATGTTTCCAAGCATAACGAGGACAAGAAACAAAGTTGGAATCTTATGAAAATAACGCCTGAATATTAGGAGAAAGATGTTGTCATTTTAGGATAACATCTATGAGAATCAATGTGTATTTTTCAAAGGAAAAAAATATTAATATACATTTCATTTTTAAGAATTTTTGGGGGGAATTTTTTCATGTTAATGTTGAAACTGCATAATGTTACAGCGGATTACAATACGAGTCAACATCCTCTATATTGGAGCTGTTCATATCTCCACAAAAGACGATTCTATGCAGTTTTCGATATGAGGACGGGAAACGATGTAAGCACTGTTTGATTTGAAAGTGGAACGATTCGGTTTGATTCGACTCGCGTCTTTTAAGTCAAAAGTTGTTGGATACAAATCGTATTTTCAATGGCTCGCAGTTAGCGGGCAACTTTCTACTGTGGTTTCGAAGTCACTTCTTGTCTGCCGCAGATACCGATGGTGCCTCTGTGCGATGATGAATTATTCTGTTTAATTTCTATGCTACAAACACGTTATTAATCAGACGTCAATTCTTTCTTGAAAAACATTTGTGTTAAGTTCACCTCACTCTAGAGAGCCGGGACATTTCAAAGAAAGCACATGACATACATTGTCCTGGCTGCTTTTGTCTCTTTTCCAGGGCCAAACTTTGCGTCAGCAGAGTAACAAACAAAACGGAAAAAAAAGACTTGACGCTTCAGAGACACTTTGGATGGCGCCTAAAAAGCTTCCCTCAGGGCCTTGCAAACGGGAACGCTTTTGTGTCCACGAATCCAGTTCCTTCCTGCCTTTGGAACACGTGGAACCTTTTGTGATTGTTTCTTTCCTTCTTACGCGTTTGTTTTTTAAGGTTGTTTTTTCCATAACAGCGATTCTTGTGCTTTTGTTGCGGTCTGGACTCTGGAGTGACGCCGTCCTCGTGTGCGGACCTGCTGCTGCTCGTGCTTGTTATTCCTGAATTTCTCAACCGTGACTCATAGCATTAGAACATCATTTTTTCTTTCTCTGTCGTCATTACAAGAGACACTTTTACAAAGTGTCCCATTTGTCTTAATTCCACTTGGTTAAACTCATGTTATACGGGATTCAGCACACACCTGCCAGGCTGCCAACAAGTGCCTCAGATTAAATAAAAAGAAGAGAGTTCAGCTGTTCTAGTACGCTTTTCCTGGCTTTCATATTACATTTGTCTCTTTTACACATTTGATATATTTGGATATATACGTACCGCTTTTAAAACAAGTGTAAGATGTCGAGATCAATTAATTGAGATTTTAGCAAGCATTATGGGACTCGACACACATGATTTACTAATTTTCTTTTGCGGACCACATAAAATGATGTGGCGGACCGGATCTGGCCCCCATGCCTTAAGTTTGACACCTGCTTTCAAGGGTTCCACGAAAAGGGACGATTCCAAGTGTGGTACAACCAAGTCCCACTGGTGGTTCGTGAGCTCCCTCTACTGGTAGCGTTATTATAAATCTCAGCGAGTTCGAGGCAGCACACGCCCTCTTGCAATATGATTGGCTGGTGGATCCAGGGAAGTCATATCCTACTCTGCGCAGATGAAATGAGATGCGAAATGACATGATTTCAGTAATGCTTCACATTTGTTCTGCTTTAAAGAAAAAAATATAAATTGATTACGTTTAGGATTGGTGGTATGTATTCATAAAAAAAAAAAAAAAAAAAACGTCACCCAAATAAGAAATGCTCTTCCCCTGCAGTTGGACGCGTCAGGGATGGAGCAGCCAATCATTTTCCAGTTGAGCGGCCCCGCAGCCAATCATTTTGCAGTAGGGTGCGCGTGCCTAGATCTCAAGTAGGATTCATTCTAACGCCCAGTTGTCCGTTCGCCATTTTGAGGCAGTCAAGCGAAGCTGAGGCAGAAGCAGTAACGGCCTTAGAACGACTTACATTCAACCTTCCCAGGCCAAGCCGAGGTAAGACTACGAGGAAAAATGCGTATGACGTACACTTTAATTCTGAAGTTATCCAATGCCTCGACCGAAATTGGACGCAAATTGTGTATTTCCCTGCGCTAAACCCTCGTTAGCTCGCTGCGGCTAACGGGCATCGTGGCAAGCTAGCAATGAGCTACCCACGGTTCCACTAAACGATGCGAAACATCGGGCCTATTTTCTATGCTTTTTAGTCTAACAACCCTTCTGTTGCAAAACGCGAAATGTGAATTTGCATTGCATGTTTAACTGCAATTTAAGCCGTCGTCGTTTGGGCAGAGTCATCGCGACATCGTCGTAGTTAAGGGCTGGGCAGGCCTCGGATTCGTTCTGTTGTGTTGGACTTTTGTTCCTTTTAAATCGAAACCAACTTGAGGAGTACTAAATAGCAAGGGGCGAAGAACGGCTAAATGCGTGTAGTATCGGTGCTATTTATGGACGCTGCTCGCTTTCAGTATATTTATACAACAATGACGCATAGGGGTTGTTTACAGAGGGCGTTATGTATAAACTACATTAGCAGTGTAAGCACAGCAGACGGTTGTCAAACTGGTTGAATCACGATTTTGGCGGCCCTGAACTATTTCCGATCTCGATTCATTGTGGTGATTTTAAGGCTGTCTGAGTTTGGTCCCTAACATGTCAGAAAGTACGATTATTTTTCGGACTATAGCCACAATATTTTAAGTTTGTCTGGTTCTGCAATTTATGCTGAGTTGCGACTTCTGTATATAGTCAAATTAGAGCTCGAATTGGCATTCAAGATAGCAGTTCCCTAATCGTGTTGACCTGCATTTGGCTATTTGCAAATACTTGTGATGCATTACTACGGGTGGCCATTAGGCGGCGGTAGCAGCCAAGGCGGGGGCGAACAGCAAACCAAACATGGCACCCTTTATTTTCATATTTACATTGCAAAAGCAACTACCCTTCAATGCCGTGATGCTACCTGTGCCAATCATCCAGATAACAGGACTCAGCTGCTCGAAACAAGGCGCGTGCCGCCGACATTTTCATCTGTTGCCACGATTGGCCTTTCTACAGCAGATCACATTAAAACAGTCCCAGATTGATATTGTGGAGAACAAGAAGAAATGGGAGCTAGTGTAGCACGCTGCTTTGTAATGTAAGGTAATACTGTAAAAATGCATACGAACTGACCAGATTTTTAGCTTTTTATTTTTTTATCTATACGGTTCTTGGTCTCTCAATTCGTCTGCTACTCAGGGAAGCCCGTTCTCTGATTGGCTTACAAGTTTCAGTCAAAAAAAAAAAAAATACGCACAGTCCCGTATGAGCAAAAAAGATTCTGACGGGGTCTCTTGCTCGTAAACCTCGACCTGAATAGTGCAGGTGGAAAACAGTGGTGAGAGGAGCAGTTTGGGCAATAGAATAGGTCTTCAATCAAATTTTTTGTAAATGAATTTGTTATTGTAGATTTTAGAGCGTTTGGAATGCTTATTCCATGTTCTTACATCAAGCTGTCAGTCATTTGTCACATTTCTACTTGGACGCAAAAGTCTGTCCACCAACAACTTTGTATTCATAACTATGTGTGTGGTGTTTTTTTTTTTTTTTTTTCATTTTTGACCTTATTATATGGTGTGAACAGATCATGAGCGGCAGTCGAGTCTTCATCGGCCGCCTGAGCCCACACGCCAGAGAGAGGGACGTGGAGAAGTTTTTCAAGGGGTTCGGACGGATCCGCGAGATCAACTTGAAGAATGGATTCGGTTTTGTGGTCAGTCTGACCGGCCTTTCTAGGGATCATATCTCATTTAGTTTCGTCCTTTTGAGGAAAAAAAAAAGAGAGAGAGAGAATTTTTTTTTTCTCCCCCAGGAGTTTGATGATCACAGGGATGCGGATGACGCCGTGTACGAATTAAATGGCAAAGAACTGTGTAGTGAAAGGTGAGGTCTTTGCTGTTTTGGACAACCGCGGTTGTTTTATTTGCTGCTCACGTGGACTTTCCCCTCCCTTTCTTGTTGTTGCAGGGTCACCATAGAGCATGCTCGCTCCAGGAGAGGAAGGGGGGTCGTCGGCAGTGGTGGGGGCGGCGGCTCCAGAATGGGAGGCTTTAGTGGTTATCGGCAATCACGCAGTAGTGGCTCCAGGTACGTCACAGTTTTTTGGGCATAACGTAATCTGCGGATGACAGAGTGCACCTGATTTAAAGCTGTCATGCCTAAATTTAGCCATAAAAAATATGTGCCTGGTCATTAGCTGTGAGGTCAGGTGGCAAGATGGTCACCCCTGAGATGGATAAATGTGAAATATTTTTCAAAATTGCTCAGTCCTAATTGTAATATCATTTTTTTGCTTCCCCCTGTTAAAAATGAATCGGAGGAGGAGAGGACCCTGAGGGGAAAATCACATTTAACATCGTAATATCTGGGGGGGCGGTGACTTAGATGAGTTTTCAAAACCACTCCTCCCTATGAATAAATACACTGGTCTGTTTTGCATTAACAGCACAATGGTCACGTGGGAGGCCTTAAATTCATAAACTTCTCTCCTTTCATTTTTAATCCATACGCATTTTTTGTTGGTATTTTTAAATATCCCCTTGTATGATGGCTGAAATAACATTTCTTCAATATCGCAAAATCAAATTTTCGCCAATTCATCAGTAGCATAATCAGTGAAGTTGTTTCTTGAAAATAATTTTGATTCCTGCAGCCTAAATTTGTCCTTGCTGGAATACCACGTTTCCTATATCCTTAAAAGCCCTGAAAACAACCCATCTTAACCAATAAAACGTCATTGTGGTCAGTGTTGCGTGCGCCCTCAAACCAAATGCTGGCTTGACTGCTTGTCTTGCTACCAAGTGTCGTTTCTGCGTTGCTGATTTTGGTCGCGTGTGTGCGTGCCTTGGCAGGTATGGACCACCGGTGCGCACGGACCACCGGTTGATAGTGGAGAACCTGTCGTCACGCATCAGCTGGCAGGTAAGACCAGTCTTGGCCTTTGTGTCCATTCCAAACAGTCCATTGTTAAGTACTCTTAGCTATTATACGATGAGATTATTTTTCCAAATTGATGCAGCATTTTAGCAATGGGGCCATGTCAATATGCGTCCCCTTAGCCAATTGGCCAAATATGCACTTTTTCTTTTCTTCCAGAGAGAGCGAGTGTAAAAGCAGCAGCTCACTGCTGGTTTTTATTTTTAATTTTTGGCTAATGTAATAAACAGCCTTGTATGGTTGCCTGTTTAAAAAAAAAAAAAAAAAAAATATGGCCAACACACACCCTCCTCGGAGGGCTCACAAGTGTGTCGCGCCTTCTCTCCTGGTTGTGTTCTGAATGGTGTCCATTTGGTGCCTCTCCTTACACGCAGTTGCCGCCGGTCTAAAGTCTTGGCTGGGCCCCGGTAGCGGGCGAAAGTGGTCTAGCGCAGGATACGGTAGCCTTAGGAGGTCCGTAAGCCGGTCTGGAGGTTCTGTGGGCTGGCATCCCCGACTGCTGTAACGCCCTCTCAAATCTGCGGGAGGGCCACAAGCCGCCCTCTTTGGGGTGTTTTTCTGTTGCTGTGACGGGGTGTTGAGTGCCCCCTCCTCCCACTGCTACTACTCGCTCTCTGGTGGTTCCGTACTTGTGGAGGCCTGGAGGTCGAGGTCGTTTCTCGAGGGCTTAACACTGCATTGGTTCCCATTTGCTATTTGGACACGTGGCGCTATGCTAATGTCTTCCTGGTAATGGACACGGTAAGTAGCATTACAACTCATGTGATTTGTGTTTTTGTAGCAGTGACGCAAGGCATTATCGGGGGTGGGCAAACTTTTTTTTTTTTTAAGTTTATTGAAAAAAAATCAATAGTGCAGTGAACCCCGCAGTAATTTTAAGGAACACATTAAAATAAAATGAATGATATATTCAATACATTTAAAATAGTATTTTATTGACATCAGATTATTTGACAAATTTCATGACCAAAATGAATAAATAACTTAACAGATTTTTAAAAAAAGGGAAAAATGGCTAAATTGATGCAGCTTATATTACGTCATTCAAGATCAGGGGTTGTCAACCTTTTTGAAAGTTCTTGGGGACTGATTAATGCAAAAGCCACCCACATTCGTGTATATTTCTGAAATATGAAATTCGCTGAAATGACCTTGAACGGGAATAATATTTACATAGGTGGAGAGATTATTCGATTTTCAATTAGCAGCAATGATTTCATATGGCGACGGATAAATATCAATATGTAACACTTTAAAAAACACTTGACCAATATTTTCATATAATCATTTCGCTGGTGAGCTATTTTTAAGAACGGGCCCCGCGCCCACTCCTGAGTTCCTTGGGTGGGTCGACCTGTTTCCCACAGGGACTGTGTTGGTGACCCCTGATCCCGATGATGTAAATGCTGAGTGAGCCAGATTCAAGTATGAATTCTTTGCCCACCCCTGCACTATAGAAAAGCTTTTCCACACTACATGATTGGCCAAAACAGAATTGTCAAACAGTGGCGTCACTCAGTCTTCAGTGGCTAAAGCTAATGGGTAGTGAGGCCCTTAAACCATTTATTTATTATTATTAAAGCTTAATTTTTTTTTATTTTGTTCAATTCAAACCACTTGTATTGCACCCAAAAAGTTGCAGCCTGTTTCCACTGCGAGGTACTGGCTCGAGAAACTGCGGAATCCACGCCACATGAGAGAACCAGACTTTCTTGAGTTATCTGGAATGTGGCTGCCGGTCACGGTAAGGCGACAAGTTTCTATCCAAAGGGAAGACGAAATCCACAACTGAGAATGCCGAGTACAGAACTACTGGCCCGGTTGACGGGGTTAGCATAAGTTCTATTTTTTATTTTTTTTTCCCCCCCTCCTCAAAAGTCACCGCAATTTGGACAAATCAGCTCAGCCATTGAGCGGCCAGCTTTTTTGTCGGCCATTTTGTCTCCTACAAACAGTAACACACGCCCCCAGTGTGCTGAGAAGGTATTGCGCAGTGGAAAGGGTTTTTTTTTTTTTCTGGCGACATTGCTATTTCAAAAGTAGGTAGAACTTCATTTTTTTTAGTCCACAACACAGATATCTAGAGTGACAGTCTGCACACTAGAATAGCCAGTGAGAGAGCGTGTGTGTGTATGTGTGTGTGTGTTGCTTTTTTTGCTGTGTGCTCATGTCTCTCCCCTCCAGGTGTGAACAAAGCTCAGGTTCCTGAGGGGCCCCCTTGCGCTGCTTTTGTTCTAACTCGTGCTCTCATGCAGGACCTCAAAGACCTGATGAGAAAAGCTGGAGAGGTGACCTTTGTTGATGCACACAGGCCCAACAAAAACGAAGGGTGAGTTGTCGCGCGCCGGCTTACCGCCCCACCCTTCCTTTCGTGTGTGTGTATGTATCAAGCTGACTCATCGCTCTTCGGGGTTCTTCTTCCGCAGGGTTGTTGAGTTTGCATCCCGCAGTGACATGAAGAACGCCATCTCCAAGCTGGATGGCACCGAGCTTAACGGACGCAAGATTAAGATCTTTGAGGACAGTCGCGGGTGAGTTTAAGAGCGGAAGCCAAGTCACGAATCACAAAATAGATTTTTACTTTGACATCAGATTAATTGTTACGACTGTTTGCTGAAGATGCAGGGTACGGTGAGGACTTTTCTGAATCCTTTGATTTCCTTTTTTCACCTCCAGCCACAGCAGGAGCCGTTCTCGCTCCCGCAGCCGCAGCTACTCGCGCAGCCGCTCCCGCTCCCGCAGTCGCAACCGCTCCAGGAGCCGCAGCCGCTCCCGCACACCCAGCCGCACCCCAGAAAAGAAGGCGGCAAGCGGCGGCAGTGGCACCAAAGCCGGTGACCGCTCCCCCTCCCGCTCCAAATCCCGCTCCAAGTCTCGCTCAAAGTCTCGCTCCAAGTCCCGGTCCCGGTCCCCGCGCTCCCGTTCCCGTTCGCCAGCCCCGGCTCAGAACAACCAGTCGCGCTCCCGTTCCAGGTCCCGCTCACGATCCCGCTCTGCCTCCGCTGAGAGCAAACACTGAGAACGAAAAGTTGTGTACATGATTGTCTTTTTATTAAATTCCATGAATGGTGGCTTCTTAATCATTTTTGTTTTGTTTTTTTTGTCGTTCTTAGTTTCGAGGTGCTTCCACAAGAAAGCCCATCTTTTTTTCTCTCCCTTTCTAATATGTGGTCGCGCCCCTTCGTATGGTTTAAGTCCTATTTTGTAATGTTTGTGTCAGAGCATGAGCGAGCGTACTTAATTTTGGTGCAGGCGCCATCCTTTTGAGATGACACTTGTTGCATTCACTGCCCTCACCTATGAACAAGATGCATTTCGATGGACTGTTTGACGTATCGTCAGGACGTTATTACATGCAGGAATTGTTCATTCAAAATAAAGCTCGCTCATTTCTGATGGCAAAACAAGTGACTTTCACTGTTTTATGTTTTGTGGATTGAGTCACATTTGTTGTCTGACAATAAACTTTTCACAAACTGAGTCGTGATTGATTTGCCTACCCTTTTAGAAATTTCAAACGCTGTCCTGGCAGATGTGTCAGACTACTGTGTTCAGGCTCAGCTGATTTGAAAAGCTAAAATAGGAAAATGCATTTTTTGGGCGTCGATGGGAGGACTCTTTCACCCAAGATGGTTCTGTGAGGTCGTATTAATCCCCCCAAAAAATCCATGCAGCACTCCCCGGTAACCTTGATGCTGAACTACTGGCTAATCTCTCCAGAAACAACCAAATATTTAGACGTTGTTATATAACTCACTAAACACTTGGTTTTTGAGGAATTCTAGTACTTCTGATATACACTTGGGGGCAGTGAAACTTCGATTTTTTTTTTAAACCCCCTTCATATAATTTCTCATTTTTTAATAGCTGAGTAAAATGGTGAATTTTAATGAGTTTGAGAACCAAAGTTGTGGGGAAAACAAGCGGACATTTTACCCCTCCGTTCATAAAAACCTGTGCTCATTCACTTATCAACCAGGCAAGTAAACAAGTGAATGTGGGTCAAATGTTGCCCAGGGGAAAATACGAAGGCAACATTTTCGCTTAACATTTTTACTGGGGCTTATTTCAAATATATTTTGCTCTCCAACATCGGTAAAGTTGGTGGAAATATTGTGTGTTCCAGCTCCGCCCCTCCAGTCTGCCTATGAGCCACTAATCTGCCCTCCAATGCTGAACGAGGAGCAACGTGGTGGGCACAACAAGCCCCGCGGTCACTCGCTCCTCCCGGGCTTGGACCCCCCTCCCTCCCCCCTCCAGTCCCGCCCCCCACCACACCCGCACCGCACCTCTACGGAGCCGAGCAAAGCGACAAGGAGCTGGGGTGAAGAGACAGCGAGGCTCGTCCTTCGACCGTGGCACTACCGTGACCGAAGGACGCCCCTCTTTTCCCGGACTCACGTCCAACACTTGAGCCGGCGTGGACGAACGCGACCCGGGCACCATGGCTGAGAGAAGTGGCCGGCTAAGCTTCCCCGGCAGCGGGGCTCTCGACAGACCGGTGCCGATGAATTTGTTCGCAACGTGGGAAATCGATGGTTCGTCCCCGAACTGCATCCCGAGGTAATCCCGCCGCTGCACCCCCCGCATGCATGCGGCGTCCTTTTAAAACTTTGACCGATACTGCACTGCCCGGGCTAGGGCATCGCTACCATTATCACACGGGGTTGTTGCGGTGGATACCCGAGCCCAGAAATGGGGGCTCATGGGCCGCATCCAGTAATGTGTTGTGATGGAGGGCTGCATGCAATTGGGCGGGATGCTACACACCCAAATGCCCCCCTCGCCCCCTCACTTTAGGGTTAATATCATCCCAAAAAACATTGATTTGATTTAAATCCATATATTTTTTTTAACATGATGTGGATCAAAGGAACACAAATGTACATTTATGCTACAATAATACATTTTAAATGAAAATAGGACACCTAATTAGGTACACCTGCACCATCAAATGCGCTGGTGTCTAACTCAAGGCCCGTGGGCCAGATCTGGCTCAGCACATCATTATCATTATATGTGGCCTACAAAATCATGTGCGTCAACTTCTACGATCCTTGCTAAAATTTGTACCCAATTTCAAATTGGCATGTGCAATAAATAATTACATTGCAATTTTCCAGGAAAATGTTACCCCTTTCACAATAATGATAAGTGAACAAGCTATTATCCTTCATTTCTGATTTTAGAACTAGTGATGTACTGTAATGTAATGACACGATCAGACGATTTAAAACATTTATTTGGTTTCACCATCACAACGACCCTCTGATGGAAGCTGTAACTACGTGTCCCTCAACAAAAAAAGAGTTTGACACCATATGATAAAATGACATTTGCAGACTATGCTAAACTCGAAAGTTTCTTAAATTAAATTCGACTTTCCATCAATGAAAGCTCAGTAGGCTCATGAAGTTGTCAGGTACATATACTAAACTAACACCTTGACTAACTATGCTAAACTAATTTGAGGATACAAGAGCACATAGTGTACGTTAGTATATGCTACTCAAAGCTAGACTATTTCAGTATCCTAAATACAGATCAAGGATAAATTGTAGTGCTGTACTTTTATTAATTATGGTCAAATAAGACAAAGATAATGTAACAATACTAGCATAATGTGTAAAGTAATATGCTAACCAAAGCTTTCGCTGATGAAGTATGTTAAACTACTTAAACTCTGGGGTCCATTTGTTAATCCAGTTATCATTATGCTGAATTAAACTAAGGTTATGAGAATTGACTCACAAAGTATGCTCTTTGGAATCGTATGATTGTTATTCTAAAACGGGTATGCTAAAATTAGCCTAAATGCTAGTGTGCGAAAAGAAACTCATTTCTAGCTTAGTGAAATGATGTTTCAGTGGCTATTTTTTTAGTTTCAGCGTGAGTGTCCCTCGTGATTATCTTTGTTCTTAATTGGGAGCAGTGACTTCTTATTTCCTTATCTAATCCATATCCATTTTTGCCTTGCCCGGAGGGCTCTGATGGGGACCTCAGACGCGCGAGGCTATTAGGCGGCCAAGCTTCTCCAAGTCACATGCGGTTATGCGCCCACACACTTAATCAGCCTTCTTGACGCTTATTTGCAGCGCTAATGCTACATTTTCTTTCCAACCACACAATTAATTGCGCCCATTGTCGTGGTCTGGTCACTTATTGCTAGGCAGATTTGATCAGGCGCAATCATAAGGCTGATGAGTGAATGAATTAAAAATTAATGTCTGTTATCCACACCCACTAAGTGTTTAGCTGATGATGCGTGATGCTGTCTGCAAAACAGGCCTAATAAGTAAAACAATTTCCTCTTTTTTGGGTTCTGTGTGAAAGGCGGGTATCTTTTGTCACAGCTCTGATGTGGAAATTTTGCAGGAGTTCTGTGCGACAGAGGCTAGAGATGACGGCAATATCTCACTTTGCGGGGTTCTGCGTGAAAGGCAGGTTCTCAGGATCCCTGTATTAAAGAAGCCAAAGAGACAAAGGAAATTTTCAGATTCTCTGTGTGAAAGTGGCTTGAGACCTTACGTTGATGTGCCAATTTTACTGCATCTTTGGATGAAAAACTCCCGACATGTCTCTGTAGTGTAGTGGCCAGCACTTCGACTCTGATGTGGCAATTTTGCAGAATCTATGTGTGAAAGAAGCGAAAGACGCCTGGCTGGCGATGCGCGGGACGCTTGGGACACTCGCTCTTTTGTCCACAAGGGATGCTCGCGCTGCGGGAATGCAGAGTAGGACGGCGGAGAAGGCGGCGAGAGCTTCTCTTTGTTCGGACGCCGCCCACTTTTGTTGTTCTCCTCCCCCTCCTGCATCCAGGGAATCTTCTCCGTGGGAAGCCACACTGACGTTAGCATCTTGGTTTCGTTTTTTTTGACAGCGTTAACTCAAAGACAGCCTTGCTTGGTACAATAATAATAAGAAGAAGAATAATAATAATAAGAATAAGTTAATCAGAGTCTAGCCAATACTATTTTTTTTCTGCCAATGCCAAAGTCAATGTTTAGCAGAATTAAACTCAGATAACAGATTAATTTTTAAAAATGGTACAATTAATGACATAACTTTTTGGGGGATTGGTTCCTTAAAACTTACAGCAATCAAGATATGAATTGCAGACAGAGCATTTGACTGCTTTCAAACACTTTGTCCCACACTAGTTGTCGTAGTTGTTGTTTACAACAGAGAGAAAAATCTGCAGAGATTGGCTTTTTTTTTTTTGGGTGGGGGGTGTTTTAATGTGTTCATGTCTTTAAAAAAAAAAAAAGAACAATTGGCTAAAACATCTGCCGATTTTTGCTGACGATGAAGGCGCTAATGGCGGCCAATCAAGTCGACTGTCTGCCCTTGGTTTTGACCTGAAAAGCCCAAGTCAAGGAAATTGAGTGAATCCTTTGATGGTGCCTAAAATGAGGTCTCGTCGATGCGACTTGCACTTGACGTTACACTTCCTGTCCTCCTTGTGAATCTTAATTATTATGTAAGAGCGACGCGCTGACACAGCAAAGTCCTGGAGGACACGCGCGCACACACACACACACACACACACACACACACACACACACACACACACACACACACACACACACGCACACACATGCACACACACACACAGTCGGACAGGCTGACTTTGCTCAATTGCGGCTGTATTGGCCCAATGCAACACACCAAGACAGGTTAGCATACATAGCTAACTTAGCATACAGTGTAGGCCAAAATGTAAGTATATATTTGATATCAAATCATTTTATTACATTTTTCAGATGTTTCCTTGGCATCTTTTTCATCCTTCCCTCGATCTTCCTTCCTTCCTTCCTTCCTTCCTTCCTTCCTTCTGCAGTTTCTTTGTTCCTTCCTTCCTTTCCTCAGAGCCACTTTTTATTTCGCATGTTTCCTTCCTTTCTTCACGTGTACCTATTTTCCTTTCTTCCTTCCTTGGTTTGCTAATATGTAAGCACACAATAGCCGCGTGTTACAAAGAACCTCCGAGGACGTTGATTGTGCTTGCCATTAGTGGGATTTAAACATCGTAATCACTCAGGAGCACGCACGCGCACACACATCAACACAGCAGCCATTTCCTGCCACTAAATGAACGTTTCCAGTCCGCGCTCTGGGAAATTAAAAAAAAAAAAAGTTGATTTGACCGCTTCCAAAGCTCCACTTGGCCGCGTTAGCAGATTAGCGGGGACTCTCACTAATGAACACTATTGTCCAGAACGGCTTTTTGCCAGATTGTTTTTTTCCGCTACCATAGCTCACTTTACTCATTTTACAGGCTTTCCTCCTTTCATCACTCAAGCAAATTCTACTTTTTTTATTTTATTTTATTTTTTATTTTTTGGGTGACACCCTGGGAAGTTTTCTTGTGGTGTAATTGTCAGATGTTGATATTCTCATTTGTCACCAGCGCCTGCATTTTGATTCATTTCCTCAAATGTTATATTGTCATGCTTATAATTTTTCGACGTTGATTTGTCTTATTTATTATTTTGGCAGTCGCACGCTCTCGCTTTTCATCGTTTATGACCTGGAAGCTGTTTGATTTGTGTCCAGATGTTGACTTAACAGACATTAGTAATTGATGAAAGCACTATTTGGCAGGCTGCTTTAGCAGTTTGTATTTATTGTGATGAAAAAAAAAAAAAAAAAGAAATGTTCGAAATGATAGTCAGTCTGTGTGATGAAGTGCAGTTGTATGCCATCGTAAAACGACTTTTTTTTTTGGCGAAGATGAGCACTTTGCAAAAAAAAAAACCAAAACAAAACAGCTGTGGACTTTCTCAAAAATAGCATTTTTGAAAGAGTGTGGGGTGACTAGTGTGTTAGTAAATAAAAGCCATCAATATGAACATGTAGAAACGGCAAGTGCTGCTAAGCTAACATCGACGCTTTCCATTAGCGTGAATGGGACAGCCACCCTCCTTGCTAACATGGCCGCCACCCATTGATGGGCACGTCGCCACTACCAACATAGCCGCCACATTTTTGTGTGTGTCTGAGCCAGCTTTAAGCCTGTTTATCTGAACAAGAGTAGCGCAACCCACAAGCATGTGACAGTCTTCTGATGCCTCCACAGATCCCTTCAGTGGCACTGCGGCCAATTCTGGAACGAACAGAGTTAATCAGCTATTTTAGAGTTGCCTGGAACACAGTTTTCTGTCCATTGATCTGTTGTTTCCAAAAGTGGTCTTTAGCTCAATGAGACAATTCAGTAATCTACACGTAATTCGCAATCTTCATGTCATTAGCGCCCACAATAAATGATTTGGAAATTGTGAAAATATAAATTCCCTTCATCTTTATTTTCCACTTCCTGTCTTCCCTCTCTCCATCCCTCCGCCTGTTCATTTCTTTCCTGCCCTCATCGCTTGGCCGGTTGCTGCTCCTAAAGCGCTCGGTCGCCCCTCCTCCTCATTCATCTTTTATTCGTTTAGGAAAATCTAAAGAATGTTCTCGCGCCTCTGTGGGAGCCATCCAGATCGTATCGTGTCCCCCCCCCCCCCCAGATAAGTACGTGTGTGTTTGTGCGTGCGTGAGAGGCTAATTAAAAGGCGGCGGCG